AAACATGGCGATCGCTCCGTTCTTGTCGATCAGAAAATCAAAATACCAGCGTGATATTGCCTCGAAGATGAAGCAGTTGTGTTATGTGAGTCGTACTTCACATTCGAGTCGAAGCTTGGGTGGCACAGGTTATTTCTTACGGTGGAATCGACGAGGGGAATTCGAACACTAGTTGTAGTGTTTGAATTGTTGAAAGAAATGGTCGCATGGGGATGTAGGAATGGCAAGTTTAACAAACAATTTCATATTTTGGCGCTTGAATTGAAAGTAAAGTTCATTTGAATTGCTTTCGTATGTATTTCTGACGGTTTTAGTTCTACCTGCTCGATTTATATCTGCTACGCTTCATGTTGACAAGTCCCTCAAAATAACGGCCAAACTTGGAGATTGCCGAAAATTAGGTAAGTTCGCTGAGTTATTAAGTTTTCATAAAGGTCCGGCCGCAAAGTTTTTTTCTGTAGTTACCTTTTCTATGGCACCTACTTCCAAGCTATGTTAGTTGGATCAGTTAAGAACGCGTCACTTTTTCAAAAATTTACCTTGAATTTGATCGGTCTTCGCGTGTGTGACTTAAGCGAACCGATAAGGTGTCATTCAAGTCTTCTTGTTTGCTTGATTGAAACGTGATGTTTACTAAAGTCGCCACGATAGATAAGATAGAGTTAATATACATGGCTGTGATATTTGTTTTTTGCTGAGCTCCGTAGTTTTCTGTAAATTGTCCTCCAAAGTTGTCTCAAATTAAAGTCTTGAAAAGTGTCACGACAGGCCTTCACTCGAGTGAAATTTAATTTCCGTAAAACTCTGAAAAATAAAGAGATCTGATCAAACAGATTGTGGTTTTAGTATAGGTACATGAATGTCTTACAACACACAAGAAATGAAGCAAAGTCGACCGGACCGCTCTTACAGAGACACTCTCTTAAAGTCTGGTCTAACAGGTGTTATTAGACAATGTTGCCTAATGACCCAATAGTCACTAGGGTAGGTGGGATCCAAATATAGAAACTTTTTTACTTAGTGAAGAGCCAATAAAATTGTGTTTTCGCTAAAAATTTGGGTTGAAATGGCCGTGACCAAAAGTTGCATTCGCAAAGGTTGAAATTTTGAGTACTTTGTAAATCCGACCAATATATTAGTAAAGTTTTCATTGTGAGACATACACCCAGGGGTTGTTTAGTGCGATTGCAAAAGAACTCTTCGCGTCTCTGCGATGATTTTCAACTCCTGCAGTCTTGACCACTCAACACAGGAAGTATGTTCGATAGATAGTTAAGAACTTTATTTCTCTATCATTTACTCTCCAAAAATACATTTTGAATTTCTTTAACTATCAAATAAACTATCAAAAATGTAAGGCAGTGTGCTAATTAAAATTGACCGACCGAAACTTTAAATAAGTTGACAAAATAAGGATGAATTTCCCACTTGAGAAATGTAATAAAATTAGAAAAAAGTTTCAAACTTTGCCATAAGCATGTTTTGCAGAGTATATTGGGTTATCATTTCATCGTAAAAAACTCCGTACAAAGCTCCCGTTTCGTAATCACTTGAAACATTTACAATGTCGGACGCACCTCCTCCCAACTATATATTTAATACGAAATTGGCACCACAACCTCCTTCACTGAAATATGTCTCACAGTCCATGGCGGAAAATGTTGCATTTACCTTTGACATACCTTTCCCTATGCTTAAAGCTTGGAATGAATTCCTTGATAAACCAGAAAATGAAGGGACAGAGGAAGAAGAACACGTGGATGGTGAACTGACGCAAGGTCCGATCACGCTGGAAGTATTTCAGAAACGTACGAGGAAAAAATATAAAACTTACATAGACTTGTTTGAACTTACTTATTCCTTGCAATCTGTTTTCTATCAGAAAATCGGAAGAAGTGAGAAAAGAGTTGAATGAATCTCTGCGAAAATAAGCTTCTTCTGTGAACTCTCAATACAAGCAGATCAGGGGGAGAAAGGGCCTTGCCCTGAACTCGAAACTAAAAAAGTTCCATGTGTTTGAGAGGCATGTTCAGTCAGTAGCAGAGCTGGAGAGGGAAAATGAACAACTAAAGGAGTTGAACTCTTCCCTGCATGAAGAAATTGAAGAGTGGAAATGAAACTATGCAAATTGGGAGGAAGAAAAGAGAAAAATGCTTCATGAAATGCAAGCTGAAATAAGAACAGTTCAAGATGATGTTGAAAAAGCTGAGACCACAAATAAAGAATTAATTGATTATATTGAACGCCTGCAGACAACTCAGCAAGACTACAAGGGGAAAGACATTTTTCAAGTAAAGAAAAAGTCGAGGACTTTGAAGACTTTCATGACAAGAGCTCAGACAGCACTGTGGTTTGCCAAGTCCTTTGGACTAGAAATTGAGTCAATTGCCATGAAAGAAGTCCAGACTGGAAGCAAGCATAATGTAAAAATGGCCAGTGATGAGCAGCAAGAAAACACTGCCACAGGGTTTGACTCCCTTTCAGAAGAGGAAAAAGAAAAAGTAGATAAAATTTTATTTTTTTTTAGACAAATTTTGTGTGGGGGACTCATTTTATCATGAGTTCTCAATGTATAATGATCTTCCAAAATCATATCTAATTAAGCAATGGCGAACGCAACTAAATGACATGTGCCATATTGTATCTACACCTGGGAGGGCTGAGGGTGCAGAAGTTTCATTCAAGGAACTTCTCAAGGAAAAGGTGCAAAATTTAATCAACCAAAATCCAGAATTTGATTTTGAAAATGAAAGTGTTAAAGTTAAAATATCAGGGGATGGGGCAAGGATGACTCGCAATACAACCTTTATCATTCTTTCTTTTGCTTTGTTGCAAAATAACAGTCATTAAATGTCAGCAAGGGGAAATAACACAATCGCCATTGTGAAGGGCTCAGAAAATTATGAAACACCGAAGGAGTCATTTGCTAATGTATTTTCAGACATAAATGATCTAAATTCAATGACCAAAATCACAATTAATGGGAAAGAAATAAAACTTGAATTCTTTTTGGGGGGAGATTATAAATTCATTTTAATCATGTTGGGTCTCAAAGGTGCCACCTCATTCTATGCTTGTGCCTGGTGCAAAGTTCACAAAGATAAAAGATGGGATATGAACCATGAGGAAGATTTTTACAATAAGCCACCATTGCAAAGAACACTAAAAGAATTAAAAGAATTATCAAAAAAGGGCAGAGAAAATTTTTGCTGTGAACATGAGCCTCTATTAAACATTGAGTTAGATCATGTAATTTTAGACGAATTGCACCTTTTACTTAGAGTAGTTGATGTGTTGCTAAATAATTTACTGGAGGATGTATTACAGTGGGACAAAAAAGATGATTTGATGATTTGATGATGGGAGAAAAGAGAAGTGTTCATCGAGAGAGGCTACAGGCTGCAATACGCTCATGTGGGGTTAGTTTTGATATCTGGGAAAAAAACCAATGCTGATGGAAAGGGATCAGGCACCTATGATTTTACAAGTTTGCTTGGGAATGACAAAAAGCAACTCCTGGGAGAGCTCCCAGGCAAAATTTTAAGTGTTGTTCAGACTTCAACTTCAAATACTGTCAAGAAAATATGGGAAGACTTTAGGGAACTATATACATTTATTGGAAGTGGTCAAAATTCAGATAAGCAAATTACAGATTTTTTTGAAATGGCTAAAAGCTAGGCAAACCTTTTCATTTCTCTAAGAGACAAAAGAAAGGGTTATGAACGTGCACGAATAACACCATATATCCATGCTATGGTGTTCCATATCCCCAAGTTCTTCAGGACCCACAAGTCTGTAAAAATTTTCACAGGGCAGGGTGTGGAGAAAAACAATGATTATGCTAGAAACATTGTATTACATAAATCAAATAAATGGGATGCTGCCTCAGATGTCCTAAAAGTTGAGGCCAGACCATGGGCACTAAGTAAATCAGAAAGGGAGAAAAGGCCATATAATAAATCAAATACAGAATACTGGGGAAAAAGATCTCCTTGAGGCAAGGAGCAAGGAAAGGAAAACAACATTTGATCCTGAAGAACCTGAGTAACGGTTAGTTTACCATGAGGGTAACATATATATCTAGGGTAGTTTTAGTAGACCACCACTGCACTGAACAATGGAGAGAACTCAGTGTTGAAAAATAGAACAATAACAACAATGATTGGGATAGCAATCTCAAATACTACAAAACTATTGATTTTTTTGTTCTTTGGATTGTAAAAATGTTCTCTTAAAGCTGGCATTTAATGAAGTGGAGGTCTACTCTTGTGTCCTTTATACTTGCTTAACAAATTGTAAAACAGCCTGCACACTGCAAGTACTTCTAGGTTGTAAATATGAAAAATTTGACTCAATATAAGAATATGTAATGAACTACTAAAAAAATATAGATTTTCTATTTCGTAATAAATACACAATGCCAAATAGAATCAAATCAAGTCTTGGTTTCTTTAATTTGTCTCATGTCAGGCTACATGCTGCTTTACAAAAAGAAATACTCAATTTTTCTGGCCTATATCGTGGGCAAGGTGTAATTAACTCCCCTGTCAAGCTATGAGTCTTTGAACTCCATGACAAAAACAATCTGACCTTCACAGGAAAGTCAATTTGCACCCCATCCCCTATACTATCTATTAGCCTGTGCCACCCATTAGGAAAGTGGCATCTTATAAAATCCTGTTTTTCAAGGAGGATGTATCCACTGTCATTACTTTTCCGTCCCTTAACTTTAAACAAAAAGTTAAAATAAGTGTGGTTAAAAGCAATGACAGTGGGCAATTGAGACTTTGATTTTAACTGCTCTAAAATGCCAATGTGGAGACCCTCACTGGCATCAGCAATCTCTTGCTGTGTGAGCCTTGGGTTGTTGAATGACCTAAGGGCAAGGAAAAAACATTCATCTTAAAAAAATAGTATTACAATTTTTACATTGAATAGGAAATTATTACATACAAGCACAGAATATCAACAGAGGAAACCAATGTAACGGATTCCCACTGTTTTTTGTGTAATTATAAAGCTGTTAATCACACATGATATCTCACCTCAAAGCAAAGGCGTTTAAATCCTCTTCTGTCTCCCAGGAGTTTTGTAGGCTGGAGTAGCCCTTCCACTTGATGAAATATTCAATCTAGACCAACGATTGAGTAAGGTTTAACGAGTATTCGTTATGAAAGAGAGATTCATTTCAGTCAAACACTCGGAGCAAAGCAGATTCGCTTACCTTTTCCTTGCCGACTCTTTTTGAAACGACTCTTTCGATCTCGTAGAATCTAGATTTTTTTTCTCTTTCTCTCTGTGTAAAAATCCGCGGTACTGAGATCATTCAGCGATTTATAAAACAAAATTTTTGGCATTTCGCTCGCTGATAGCTTTCCGACTGCTTCACAACCAAGCTACGCAGACTCAGCAGGGTTGAAATGTACAGAATAGAGCCCGCGTCACGAACCGCTGACTGTCCTAAATTTCTGCCCAGCGCCGTATCAATTCGGCTGTCGATTGTAAGTAACCAAAATTGACTTTTTTTTTTTTTAAGTATTTTGTCCTGCTCTAGTAGACTGCAAGATTCCAGGCTTTATTTTTCTGTTATCTATGAGGTAATATAATAATTTGCATCAACTCTAAATTTTGTAAAAAATGTAGCGACACAGATCTTAGGGCAAGTGCCAAACTGTACCACCCACTTTATTACATCGAGCGAAATATTCTCTCGCTTGGCCCTCATGCTTACCCTAAACGATACATGTGCGCAAGGATTTAAAGATAGTTTTCCTGTTTGAGATCCTCAGAAACAAGTCGTTTTATGTTCCCCCACATTCATTATCGTCAAAATTAATTAAAGACGAGTTCTCCTGAGCTCTTTAATTTTGAACGAACAGAAAATCTTTCGTAAACGGGGGATCTTAAGCCACTGAAATTCCATGAATTTGCCAAGCAACTTACGAACTACTCCTTGATACATCGGGAATGCACCAAGAGTGTCGAGGCAGAACTCCTGAGATACCTTATAATGATTGAGAACGATTCAGTGGTAGACAGCTGCTATACTTAACTCAGGGCCTTAGCGAGACGACGCTCTGAATGTTGATTTATGCGCAAACTTGATCTCAAGGATAATAGCTTTTTGGCAAGTTGGATCTTTCAAATATAGAAGATTTTTTCCATCAACGTTACTTTTCTTTAATGTAAATTGAACCCAAAGAGTGAGCTTCATCATTGTATTAAATTCACTCTCGTCGCCTTATGGAATTTCCTCTCCTTTCCAGTTTCACAATTTGTGACATGCTTGGAACCGCCAGCACTGACTTTTTAGAATTTGGCTTATTTCTCTATTTATGGTAATGATGGAACTACAATTTCTACAAGGGGTGTCATTATAACATAAACAGATATCGTTGAGAAAAGGTTCACGAAGTAAACCGGTTGTAGGAAAATAAAAATTAAGGATAATGATCCTGTTTATTTCAAGTACCGGAAAATGTTTTCTCGTCAAATGGTTGTGATACCCACATTTGGAAGCTCGGTAAATTTCATTTTCGTTTTATTTCAACTACACGGAAATAGAGGAGTTAAGGTGGATATCATATCTTATCATTTGTGAAAGTCAAACTCGTTTTTCATGCATTAACTACAGTCATCTCTTACCTTTCAAGATCCAACGTTCTTTGGTGCCCAACTTTAGTGTTATTGAGCCAAACGTGTTTCCTTTTATTACTACCTGGTAGCTATGGTTACGATAGAAACTGTTGTTTTCAAGCCAAGATGATCATTAATATTAGAAATGAACTTCCCTCTTCCTGTTTGGGCTCTTTGCGCAAAAAGCTAAATTGGTAAAAAAATAATACGCAGCGAATAATTTAACCTAATGCAACGGATTGACCGGAGTAATGCCTCTTGGATCATAACTGTTATTATTAATTGCTTGAAAGTATCGCCTGCAAGGCATTACAATTATAGATCTTTTTTTTCAGTAATTCATGTCAAACAAACGCAATGCAGATGAATTTAAGAGAAGAAACGAGACACTTCAATAAGAATTCGAGGCACTTCAAGTGGTTTTGAGACTCACACAGTGGTTTTGAGACTCACACAAACACAGAAGAAGAGGAGAGTTTACCACTACGTACTTCTTAGCTTTATTAATTTTATTCGATTACAGTATACAGACAGAGTTGATTTATGTTAATGGGACTGGAAAGACAGAAGTTTATTTTTCTATCATCCATGATTTTAGAAAACGTGTCTAGTTTCCTTGTATGATTCTTTATCTTATTTTCTACCATCAGTTTATACTATAATATAAGTTGGAAGACTTGAACGGCTACCCATGCACTAGACGTGTTTATTAACATGGTTTGCGTGCGTTCAGCCTTTAAAGTCTGGTCAAACTGGTGTTTTTCGATAATATCGCGCAATGACCCAATAGATACTAGGGTGGGTGAGATCCAAATATAGAAACTTCTTTACTCAGTGTAGAGCCAGTAAAATCATTGTGTTTTCGCTAAAAATTTGGGTTGAAATGGCCTTGACCAAAAGTTGTACTTGCAAGGCTTGAAATTTTGGAGACCTTGCAACTCCGACCAATGTATTAAGACCTCTTTGCGTCTCTGCGATGGTCTGCAACTCCTGCAGTCTTGACCACTCAACACAGAAAGTATGTTCGATAGAGAGTAAGGAGCTTTATTTCCCTATCAATTTTTCTCCAAAAAACATTTTGAATTTCTTTAACTATGGAACAAGCTATTAAAAATGTAAGGCAGTGTGTTGATTGAAATTTCCTCGATTTACCGATGGAAACTTTAAAGAAGTTGACAAAATAAGGACTTCTCTCTTGAGAGATGTAATAAAACAAGCAAAAAGTTTCAAACTTTGCCATAGCTTTTTTGATATATTAGCAGAGTTTGTTGGATTACTTTTTAGTTCATCAAAATGTCCCATTCAAAGCTCCTTTCTTCTTTTCTGCAAAATTTTAGTGTTGTTTTCGCTGTGGCAAACAATAGCGCCGTATCAATTCGGCTGTCGATTGTAAATAATCAAAATTTTTTCTTAGTATCATGTCCGGTTCTAGCAAACTGCAAGATTACAGGCTTTATTTTCCTCTTATCTGTGAGGTAATATAGGAATTTACATCTACTCTAAATTCTGTGAAAATTTTAGCAATACACATCTTAGGGCTAGTGCCAAACTGTGCCGCCCGAACCTAACCGCTGCGAACTATAGTCTCCTCCGAGTGCGAGAGAGCGTAACCATATTTGCACATTTACTAGGGCGCATCCAGCGAGCCTAGGCTACCTGTGCCTTTATCGTTCATTTCTTCTTCGGTTGATAAATCTCCGAATATGAGTTAAGGTCTCCCTCAAAATCCCTGTCTAAATCCTCTCGGCGTATTTAAAAAAAAATGGTGATCTTTGATTTCGTTTTAGGCCGTTAAAGCAAAGAAATTTCTCTCAAATTTTCGTACCCGAGATTCTTGCCTGCAAAACAGAAAATAAAGCTAGTGACCGTGAATATATGAAAATCATGCATAGGAACTGCGGATTAATAAATGAATATGAAAGAGATCTTCGCAGCAGTGAGCACTACTTAAGCAGTAGTGAAAATAAAGCCTGAAAAGTTCAGGCCATACGAGATTTGAATCCATGAACTTTGGAATACCAATGCAGTGCTCTGCCAACAGAGCTAATGGGATTTTCATATATTCACTTCACGGGTTTATTACGAACCGACATTATGACAAGCTCCCAATTCTTAATGCGCAATTCATATAAATGACTTTCATGTATTCACAGTCATCTATTCATCACTTCACGGGTTTATTATGAGGCTAAGATAATGACCAGCCTTCAGTGGTCTTGCCAGCTTTGTTGGTATAGCACTGCATTGGTGTCGCAGAGGTCATGGTTCAAATCCCTTCCAGGCCTAGCAAAAATCATAGAAACTTACTGTATTGTTTAGCTTGTGCTTGTATGAAAACGGATTAACAGATTCTGAAAGGTCCATTACATTTACTTTGATGTTCAATCATTGCAGAACACTCTTTGAAAATGGTTCGTGTAAAATTAATGTACATTTTCTATGCTTTGTACGAACGGCAAACGCAATAAATCATTACGTTTTCCTGCATTTACACACATTAACCTTCAAGGAAAATGCGTGTTTTCAGCCGCAAACTCCGGTGAATAAGTTGCTGTACACTGGGAAAATGCCAATGAACGAAAGGAAAACAAGCTGTTTGCGGTGGGTTAACTGAGCGGTTAATGCCGGAAAATGATTTGTTTACCTGCATTTACCGCGAGGGAAAACTACCATATAATGGAACGAAAACTGGGATTCACCGATGGGAAAACGCATAGAAAACGTTAGATTTTCCGTACGCAAAACATGTGTAAACGTTTGTAAAATGCTGCGTTTTCCGTGAATTCAATCTTCGTGTTCGGTACGGTAAACGCTAGTTTTTTTTCCGTGAATTATTGACTAGGCGCTGTACAATCTTCGTCAAGCTAGTTTGAATTCGCCAAGCATCTCTACAAAATTTATCAAGTTAATCCTTGGAATTAATCAACCTCTATCAGTTTTCTTTGATTGGCCCAACTATGATTTAACCATATTCTGATAGGTTTTTTAGGTTTATAAAGAAACCAGCCAATGTTGCGTCAGTAGCTCGATCTGTTTTCAACTTTCTTCTTGGACATGGGAAAAAAATGAAATGAAGGGAATCGTGAACAACATTTCCCCATTCAACTCAGAGTGACATTTGAAGATTTCTTTTTCACGCCGCAATCTTCCTTTTTTGTTATTCGAACGAGGGCAGTTTTTTGTAATAACAGCTCTCCTACTGAGCTCAAATAGATATTATTCTACCAGAAAAAAAAGCCAAACAAACAAACATGAAATTTTTTTCAGCGAGAAACTGCAATAAACGCAGTTTACTTTTGATGCTAAATCTAACATTACAACAAAATCTACTGATAAGTTTCTTAACCATTTAAAAGTGTTATTTACGACATGTGCTAACTCACATCAGCTTGAAGTACTTGTCTATCCATGTTTTCTTGAGTTTAAAATAAAATTCAAGTTGAAAATATGATTACATAGCTAACCAATGTGCCGTCTAATTTTAGAATGATCAAACCTCGGTGTATATCATCACAAAATTCTAGGCATTGCGAAATTGACGTGTCCAATTGCTGAAATGAGCTAGGGTCTTGCCTAGGGTCCATAAATATTGCGTAAAATTGGAAAACGTGATATAGGCAACTTGTGTCCTGTATTACAGCTATCTAATTCTTGTAAAGAGTCTTACTTCTTATTTTGCTAGTGGTCATGCTAAATGGTGATCCTGCTTGTCCAGAATATCAATATTTGTTATTTTTTCCTTTCGTTTTCATTGTTTCAATTTTTTAATTCTTTTTTTCGTTCCTTATTCTGGTTGCAAACATGTCTTACAAATTATTACGTATGAGATTTTTTATCATCACAATTTAACAGAACGCAGCCAGTGTACAAAATCTACTGAAGTAATAAAAATAACCGGTACGATGAAATTCTACTGAAGCGTTCTTGATTGCACAGTTTATGAGGATGTCATCAACGTAGAAAATCTGCCCAAGTAATTTTAAAATATCATTAAAGTTATTATGACGAAAAGAGGACTGCGTAAAATCTCCGAAAAAAATGTACCTTAGGATCAATGTAAATACTGCTATGATTTCTATGTAAATACCCAACAGAAATCTCTGTTGGGTATTTACAACCGGTAGGACGGTTACTAAAGCAGACCTTTCTGAGAACCTCATCATCTTCCACTGTGGGATGAGCACCATCCAACCTGCTTGACCAGTCTGTATCACATCTATATGCTGGCACACGCGTTGTTGGCATTTTTGTTACTGCAGCTCCCACAAAACGAAACCATCCCTTAAGAAGTTGGTTGTCACCCAACACTGGTCCAGATTTGGGCGTTTTGTTACTCATTCTTTTATTGGCATCGCTCAGTTCTTTATAAGTATTACACGGATCGGCTACAAAGTTAAAGATGATTGTGGTAATTAGAATAAATGGTTAACTGATTTGTTAAAGCGTCTCATAATTTTAGCAGTTTCGCGACCAAAACCAGACCTTTCATTTTACAAGAACAACTCAAAGTTATTAAGCGTTAAGGTCAAGAAGTACTTGTGTGGGACATTTTCAGTCAACGACGCTAAAAAGATCAATATGTGCAATATGTGTACATTTTATTAGCGATGGATAGCAGTATCCGAATTCATTAAATTTTATTTTTTTGGTTACACAGGAGTTCGCTATATTTAGATGGGCAGTCAATACTAATAACGTCACCGATTACTGAAATTTTGTTTGAATGCATACTGTACTTATATTTAATTTTTCTTTTCATCTTCATTTTGTTGCTTGACGCATTTATGAAATTTTACACCTTCTTTTAGCTCCAAGATTCAAAGCCAAACTTGCGATTTCGTTCCAGACTGTTGTCTGTCATTAATGTAACATCCATCCAAAGGCAGAAGAAACAAACAAAAAGTATCAGAATTCTGAGTTTCGAAAAATGACCTTAAAGGTTTTGTAATGATTAAAAACAGTGTAAAACAAATCATCAAGGATTTGATTTTCTACCAATGGCAACATGCCCTGCATTGAAGTAAGACTTTCCCCACCAGCTCAGGTGAGACTTCTCTTACTTTAAGGAAAGCGAACAACTACCTGTGCAGCTTTGTCCATTTTCAGTATATACAGGCTGACATTGACAGTCGTGTGATCCCACGGTGTTTATGCAGGTAGCACTTAAGCGACAAGAATGACTTCCTTCACATTCATCAATATCTAAGAAATTACAGATAGAAGGAGATTTAATAATTATGCAAACGTCCCTGTACATAAGCCGTTACCGTGTTAAAGATTGCAACTATGGCTGTAGTCAACCCTTTGCTGGATTGTGAGAACAAGAGATTGTCTTAAATGTAGAAAACAAGTTATCTGTGAAAAAGGCTAGCACTACGAAAGTTTTAGTCGGGTAACTGCCTTCCTTTAAGTTACAAAAATTAAATCCTGGCTTTCTATGGTATCAAAAAAACGACAACAATCTGGGATTATTGACTGTACCTTTACGATTGCGTCCATCTCCAGTATATCCAGGTTTGCATGTGCAATTGTGTGATTAGTATGAGTTATTACAAGTAGCGTTTACGTAATTTTTGCCAGGATATGTTTTGCATTCGTCAATATTTGTCAAAAGAAACGGGAAAAAGAAAAGAATGAAAATGGGATTTGGTTTTCATTCGGGAGCCATACATGTACATGTGTGAAAACCCAGAACGCTCGTTGGCAATTTTCTGGTTTCATGTGATTCTCTAGTAGAACCTGAAAGTCAAACCGTTATTTTGAAATTTTTTCACGTTGGTACAGCAAATATACCTAAAGCATACAGTATAAACTGCTCTTATTTTGCCACGGGAGTAAAAACCACGATATATAAACAACGAAAGAAAGAACGAACTCAGAGAGAATGACGAAGGGCTAACGGTTAAAAATAAAATGTGAACGGTGGCCAATTTACATTATTAACCCACTAGATAATACTTAATTACCTTATTACCCCCCTTTCTTTCCGTTGGGCATCATTTAGTTCTGGAGGAAAATCATTATACAGTCCATTGAAAACCTACGAGTAGAACGGAAATGACAAAGTATTCTCAGAAATCAATGTAAGCTTTGTTTTCCAGGAGGTGTTTAAGGCAGCAAATTGATCGTTCAAATTAAAAAGGGCGAATGCTCGCAGAACCGATAAGATTCTGAGGTATCCTACATAAGAAAATAGAGGTGGAATTTGATTTTATATCTCGCCAGGTTTATTCTCAGATATTCCATGAACCCGGAAGCCAACCATTGTAAGAAAAGGTGCAAGGGGAAAATAAAAATAGACCGGCATATGTTCAAGTTTCTTTATTTCATCTCTATATAATTAGAGTGCACATCATAAAATCGCACAAGTCGTTCTCATGAATTTTCGTTACCAGGCCAGGCTTTTACCAGGACAAGCATTCTTTTCCTTTATTCTTGAATCGAAGAGAGTGACGTCACTAATGATAGAGTATTTTTTTTTCTCTGATGTCATAATTACACGTATTCACATCGCTGAATCAAACCGTAGATTATTATAAATGATAATGTTAAAGATATTTATACAGCGCTAAATCCTCTAATATTGTCTATGGCGCTTGATATTAATTAAGATCATTAAGAAGCTAAAAGAAAAAAAGGAAAGGAAAAAAAATATCCCCATGTAGGAATAAACTAATTTAAAACTTCTAAGATAATTAAACAAATTTACCATCAAAAAAAATTTAAAAAAAGGTATAAGCTTGTTTAAAAGGATAAGTTTTTAAGAGTGATTGTCAGTAAAAATCAAAGAAATCGTGGCCACGGTCAAAAAATCGATTTCGCTCATACTTTGTCAATTTGAAGGCCTAGGTAAGTTACTGAAGGATATGAGGTTAGTTTTTTGAAATATTCCATATAACGGCAGAAAACCACGAAAAACGGTCACCCTACCGGAAGCTCGGATTTCGCCTGGCGGAAACTCGAAATTTTACACTTTTCAGCTTCTCGCTACACAGACGTTTACATAGCTGTGAATCTTTCTTAAGTATAATTGAATACATTGATTCTTCCTTAGTCAAACCATGGGAATTATTTTTATCTCTGCTTATTTGTGAGCGAACTGAGACCCGATTAAGAAGACACACTTTTCTCATTTACGCGAAGGTGTAAAATAATCCAAACTCAGTGACGAAAAAAGCTGACCGGTAGTTCTTCAAACCCTCTGATATTATAACCAAAGACAGTTCAGTCATTGATTTTTATGTCTACGGTTTTAAATCTTTAGGATCTAGTAGCACTTTTGCATGAACGCCGATCAAAATTCGATAAAATTCCAATTGAGCGCCTTTGAAATCTACAACTCTACATAACAATGCACTATTGAATAAATTAGCTCCTCGGCCAAAGTTTGTACATAAAAAATAAGGGTTTTACTTTCTTAGCGGTTTGAACCTTTTAAAAATATATATTGATGTTAAATATTGTCTACACAGGTAAAACAAACTATGAAACACCAAAATTACCACGAGCTGAAATTAAATCTCACAGGCTCGCTCCCTAATCTGTGTCACGCACGAGCGACTTTGCTACAATTAGTACAGTAACAAACAGATATTTACATCTGTTAATTTACAATAAGTCTTATTTTAAAATATCTTACTCAACGATGTGCTAGGTTCCCCAGTTAACTTGCTGAAGTAAAAATAAAAGAAAATATCATAATAGCAATTCAAACTGAAACGATAAGAATTGATTTTATTAAGAATGAGAAGCTTTATGCCGTCGATAGCCAATCAGAAGTACCTGTTCTCACGAAAATTGCATCGTTCTTTAAATAAATAAATCGAATTATCTTTATCTGTGAAACATTGCATCTAAAACCAGAGTTTATTGTCGGGGAACTTCATAGAACAGCGATGTCTTGCTCGTTCTTGAATATTGTTGGTGGGATTTGCGGCGCAGACGAACGCACAAGTTCTTCAACTTCCGTCACGCCTCTCACGCGGTGTAACAGGGATATCAAAAATCACAAAAAATCGTTGAAATTTTCCGGAATTGAAACGGAGGTAGAATTAATTTTGGCGAGATGCGGATGTTTTCAAAAGCCGGCGAATTTATCGGATATGACTATCTGTCCGGTTCATCGTGCCAAGTTAGGTTTAGGTTGGCGAAGGACGGGTAATCTTTGCACCATCCCGGAAGTTGTTTCTGGTCACTGCAAGGAGCTGAGGAAGGCACCCGCACTGGAAAAAGGAATAAATTTATTCCAATCCATGAAGATATTTGAGCTTTCAAAACAGCTCGTCCCTGTGGGCTCAGGTAAGCAACCAACTACTTGATGTTCTACCAAACAGAAACTGTCTGCAATGAATTATTTTTAGTCTATTCATTCTGATGACTTGAGATTATATGAAAGAATCATTTGTTTAAACGACGGAGAGAAATAAGTAAGGTTGATGAAGGACATTTCGTTACTTATCTCTTCATTCAGTTGTCCAATCCAATTTTTTTATAACAACCTTTATTTAATGCCTCTCATTTTTTTATGGATTGCGATTATATTAGTGTGTGCACTGTATAGTGCGCTGCACTGTATAGTCCGAGTGCTTCATGGGACAAACATCCTGCATACTGCTAGGATTGGAATGTCATGTGTGGCATACGCGCAATGGAATAAATGTGATGGAATATTTTAAGCCTGGTGAATAAATGAGAATGATGTATTATTCAGTAAGTGACACAGGCGTACTCGGAAAAAAAAGAAATCCGAGTGCTCTCGGCCATCAGGAGTCGAAACTATCGACATCGTGTCAGGTTATGCCTAAGTGACACGATGAGACGGTACGGGTAGTCATCTCCTATAAACTCGTTGGCTTTTAAAAACACGCAATCTTGCTAAAATCAATTCTGGTTCAAGTCCGGAGAGTTTTTTAGGACTTCGTGCGATGTTTTATATCCTTGTTACCCAGCGTGAGCAGTGTGACGAAAGCTGAGTAAGGGTAGAAATTAGCCATTGGAAGTTACTTAGCAAGTGCGTTCGTCTGCGCCGCAAATCCCACCGACAATATTCAAGAACGAGCAAGACGTCGTTGTTATGTATGTCTATTAACTTCGCCAACAACATACTCTGGTTATATGGTTAAGTAGATTTGTTTATTTAGAGAACGATGCAATATTTGCTTTTCGTGGAAACAGTTACTTCCGATTGGTTTTCGACGGCACAAAACTTCTCATACTAAATAAAATCAATTCTAATTGAGCTAGAATTACTATTAAAGGTTTTTTTTTTTTTCCAGCAAGTTAACTGGGAAACCTGGCACATCTTTGAGTAAGATATTTTAAAAATACGACTTATTTAAAATCAACGGATGTAAATATCTGTTTGTTACTGTACTAATTGTAGCTAAGTCGCTCGTGCGTGACGCAGATTAGGGAGCGAGCCTGTGAGATTTAATTTCAGCTCGTGGTAATTTTGGTGTTTCATAGTTTGTTTTACCTGTGTAGACAATATTTAACATCAATATATATTTTTAAAACGCTTCAAACCGCTAAAAAAGCAAAACCCTTATGTTTTATGTACAAACTTTGGCCGAGGAGCTAATTTATTCAATAGTGCATTGTTATGTAGAGTTGTAGATTTCAAAGGCGCTCAATTGGAATTTTATCGAATTTTGATCGGCGTTCATGCAAAAGTGCTACTAGATCCTAAAGATTTAAAACCGTAGACATAAAAATCAATGACTGAACTGTCTTTGGTTATAATATCAGAGGGTTTGAAGAACTACCGGTCAGCTTTTTTCGTCACTGAGTTTGGATTATTTTACACCTTCGCGTAAATGAGGAAAGTGTGTCTTCTTAATCGGGTCTCAGTTCGCTCACAAATAAGCAGAGATAAAAATAATTCCCATGGTTTGACTAAGGAAGAATCAATGTATTCAAATATACTTAAGAAAGATTCACAGCTATGTAAACGTCTGTGTAGCGAGAAGCTGAAAAGTGTAAAATTTCGAGTTTCCGCCAGGTGAAATCCGAGCTTCCGGTAGGGTGACCGTTTTTCGTGGTTTTCTGCCGTTATATGGAATATTTCAAAAAACTAACCTCATATCCTTCAGTTACTTACCTAGGCCTTCAAACTGACAAAGTATGAGCGCAATCGATTTTTTGACCGTGGCCACGTTTTTTGAATTTTCCTTGATTTTTACTGACATTTACTCTTAAATGTCTTTTAAAACTATTAATTGAAGAACTAGATCTTATTCCAAGTGGGATCGAGTTTCATAGTCCTGGTGCCGCCACAGCAAACGTTCTCTCTCCACAAGTCTTTAGTCTCGCTTTCGGAGTCGCCAGAGGGTATTGAGAAGAGGACCTTAATGTCCCTTTAGAGGTGTGATAATCAAGTAAGTCACAAATTTGGCACGGCACTGTTCCATTGATAACCTTGTAGAGCAGTGAGAGAATTTTATAAACTATACAGTGACGGACAGGAAGCCAGTGAAGCCTTTTATAGGATAGGGGTCATGCGATCAAATTTCCTAGTACGAGTAACAATTCAAGCTGCTTTATTTTAAACGGATTGTAATTCGTAATCTTGAAAGTGGATGCTGAGGCAGACCCCAAAGCAGTGAGTTGCAGTTATCTAATATTGAAGTAATAAAGGCACGAAGAACAATTATGGCACTCTCTTCTTCAATGTACTTTCTCGTTTTGCAAACGTACAAACCATACACTGCAACACACGTTTTTTCGTACCCATTATCGCCATTTTTGGTTCGTCTCCACCGTCAGCGGGATAGACAAATTATTAAAGAGCAGTTGTAGCGATTCGGTTGTGGCCCAAGGCAGGCTGGAAAACTTGCAGTCCCAATAATCTGATAAGAAATCACTCTTTAGGAGAAGAAGATTACGGCTTTTGTCACTTATAAACGTGGCCATTTGGTTGGGAATTAAAAGGTTCCAAAGGCATCCCCATTTGGATTGATAGCTTGGGTTCAATGAATGCCTAGGTCGCATAACCAGATTTGTGCATTAATTTGAATGTAAGGATGTTACCCGCCTTGGAAGTTTTAAAGAAACCATACCAATCATCTCTTGTTCCAAAGCAAACTGTAGATGGCGTCAATTGCATCCATCTTATTGTTTGGAAAAGAACCAGCACTTATGTGATGAATTGATTTTGAACAAAAAATGTGAGTTGCATAACAAGAATACACATGTAGATAGCCAGCCGCTCATTCAAGCAGATGGATAGGAAAGCAGGAGGGACAAAAGGGGATTCAGACATCTGGAGGAGTAGACGGATGGCTGAATAGGACTGACACTTGGATTCATCGAGAGATAACTTAAAGGGTTAGGTAGAGTTTTTCATAAAAGTATTTCACCAAATTAAAAATGCTTTTTTACCTACCGTTTCTTTCTTCGCATTTGGTGCCCACGTATTCAGGTCGGCAAAGGCATTTATAACCTTTGAATAAAGGGGTAAGTTTCTAAAGAAACTGTGATGTTGCGTCGGTGGGAGAGTATAGCAGGTAATTTAGTGTTAACAACTGAATTGAAAACGTAAATTAGCCACCGTAAAGGGTAAAAAAGCTGACGAAAAAGGTATGGAGTTCTTCCATCATCCATCATCCATCATCCATCACAAGTCAAGAACTCCATACCTTTTTCACAGTTTCTCAGACTTCGTCGTTTATGTAGTGACGACTCTGATTTTTCCGAAAAATCAAAGGCAATATGCCAGTTTTTCGATAAACGTGGCCATGCTGTCTCTGTCGTTCAAGCGGGCCACCACCGTGCCCAACAAATTAATCGACAGTCAGCACTACAAACGGCTGAGAAGGATAACACTGACCAAATTCCGGGTAATAAACGACAATGGATCTTAACTTAACCGTGTAATACGTGCATGTTCTTGAAAGAACAGAGTTGGGAATGTAGGATTTTTCAATTGGCGTAATTCGTAGTTGTCGAAGTAGTTTGTGTTTTGCGTCTCATATCCAACTTTCTGAATAGGATACGCGTAAAAATCTTCGTTAAATACCCTTTAATTTTACAAAATGAGTTCCAATCATGGGTGAATGTTGAACGTGGCTATTTACCTTACTTAGTTTATTTTGGAACTTCTATTCCTTCTGTATATGTATCAGCGAAGAGAATAAAAGTGATATATGAAATAAGATTGCACTCATAAATGAATCGAAAGACGGAAAATGATTGACAGTTTTCCAATCACCTTTGCCAAGCGTTAAGCAAGTCAACTCAGGATTAAGGTCTTCTATTTCTATCCCCACGTATGCCACGAGTTTTAAGTCGATCACCAGCTCCCATGCCCCAGCAATGGACTAAGCAGCCCAAACCGACCTATTGTTATGAAGGAAAGCATATTATGAAAGTGCATTAAACAAAGCTTTCAGCAGCTGTCAGTTTTATGTGGACATTAACGCAAATGACCCAAATAATTGTTTTCCGATTTGCTCAATGAAAAGGAATAAGGACTCTTAGGAATATCATTCCATATCCTTAGGATTAACAGACACTTAAAGGTTCAAGTTCCATTGGACTTTTTGATCCAAGTACTTTTAAAATTTAAAAGATCAAAAAATGCATCCAGCACATTTTTCTTTCATTCCTACCAAAAGATAAACACCTCGCAAAACTTTTTGCGTTCGAATGTTTGACGTGTAATTATTTTGCTATCAACTTTGGCAATAATAAACATGAAATTAACAGAAAAGTCATGAACCTGTTTCAATTATTTTGTAATTTGTCAGTTTTTGGAGTTAAAAAGACGCACGTGATGTTATTTTCATCAAACCTTGCACCTAAATCGTTTGAAAGAGTTGATAGTTAGCTTTAATTGAAAAGCTCTTTAGCGGCCGATTATCTCCAGCCAGTAAGTGTCCTTAAACTGATGAAAAATGTTTTTATTCCTTGGAAACTGATGGCCGACTTTTGCACGATGAGTCAATAACAGACGGATCCTCCCTCGGTGTAAACATATTTAAGAAGGCCGCATAACCTGTTCTCCTTTGCCTTTATCATCCTTCATTAGAAAAAAAAGACTTTATCGAGGATTTACTCATTTGCAGTTTAATTTTTCGAAGCATTTAAAATGCCTTACCGATCGTCGACTAAAAGGAAAAAGAAAGTATCGGTGTACTTTTAGCTCCGAAGATTCGACGACGACGTAACCAAAAGGTACATGAATTAGGAAATCAGGAAATCTGGTCTGCTTTCCTTACTCAGAGCGCGTGGCAATGGAATATAACGCCTACATCTGTTGTGCTTAAATTTTCATCTGTGATTCAAGTTTTTTGATCGTTAGCCCTGTATACACTTGGCCGAATGAGCTATACCTTTAAAAAACGCTCCTTTCACCCAATTTAATCGTGAGCTATGAGAAGTGCTTCATAGGATTCCCGTTTGGTTTCATTAATAAATGCGATCACTTACATTTCTTCGTGGAAAATGTGCTTGATGCCCTTAAAAAAACATTCAAAGCAAAAGTCAACCAGAAAAAGGCAGTTTTTAAATCCATGTGGCGTTATGGCCTATAATATTATCAACGGGCCATCAAAACTGCTCTGTAATCTACTACCATACCTGAAAACAAAGAAAAACGATTTGATTACAACATATGCGAAGCGGTGAACGACGACAGTGCACTATCTGAAATTGATATGTGATAGACGTTGTGCTACAATGTAATTCATTTATTTTTTAAATGTTTGAGTTATTAATCTGGATAGGAAAGGATTTTGAATAACGGAAAGTGAATGAAAAATCGTGCACTCACCCACCCATTATGTTCGTTGAGGACAGCGTGGATTCAAGACCTTTCGTCCATCAGTTCGCCAAAAAGGTTTTTGTCGAATTGGTACTCTTTTAGTTTAAAAAAAAATATGTTGGCGTTAATTTGGTGTTGCTATCTATATTAGTATTTACCATGATTCAATCCATCCTCATCGTGGCCAGAGGCCTCCAATGCTGTTTGCCCTTTGCCTTCTCCTCAGCTCTTCCCAGCTGACTCCTCTCTCCCCATCTCTTTTTTTCAATTTCAAGAGATTTTATTACGACAATGTCCTTTACTCACGGCTTTTTCTAACCGAACGACCCTTTTTTTTCAATTCACCCGTGACAACTTACCCGCGAAATTTTGTCACGACAATTTACTCGTTACACATGACCCACGAATACTGGCCACTTCTTTTCCTGTAAAACTTGAATTTAAAAATAAAAACAAAAGAATTAATGGAACCATTACTTTCTCTTGATGAAAGCAATTACCCTGTTGTTACGCTATTTGTTGACCTTTGTTACCCTTATAGTAGCAGTATGCAGGACGGGCGTCATATATGAACTTTTATAGCGTATAGAAGTCTATAGTCATATAGAGTCTCTGTGGCTAAGTAGTAGAGCATCCGAATACGGAATCCGGAGCTCTAAGGTTCGATTCCCCATGAGGACTCAGAATTTTTGTTCGTCCCACGCCCGAGACAAGATGAAAAAACATCTTTCTTTATTCCTTTACTGAGCCCATAATCTTACCATCTTTCTTTTTCTATTAACAAAACATGACGCCCACGACATTGCTGATCCTAGAAGTTTGCAGAACGCGTATCCTGCATGAACTTCGGAGTGGGCCTTGCCAACCACAGAGTCTCCTTGGCTCAGTTGTAGAGCATCGGAGCGTGGAGTCCGAAGATTTGAGGTCCGATTCTCATGGGGACTCAGAATTTTTCCTTTGTCCCACGCTCGTGACGAGACGAAAAAAGATTTCTTTATATATTTAGTGGGCTCGAAATCTAACCATCTTTCCTATTCTATTTGTTACCCTGTGGGTATTTTCCAAATAAATCAAAAGGCTTATGCATAAGGTGTTTTATGGAGAAGAAACCCAACTTCCTTTTATTAGAGGGGGGACGTTTCTATAGAAATTTTGGTGCTACGTGGATGGGAGAGTATCACAGGGTAATTTAGTTTTAGCAACTGAGTTAATAATGTAGATTGGAATCCGTAAAGAGTTTAAAAGCTGACGTTTAGAACGTTCGCCCTTCGTCTGAGCGAGTAACTACGTACTAACGATCGATTCGTCAGTTTTAGACTCTGTACGGTGGCTAATTTAGGTTATCAACTCAGTTGATAATACTTGATTTTACCTTATTACCTCCCTTACTTTCCGTTGGGCATAATTTGGTTCTGGATATGAAAATCATTATGAAGTCCATGGAAAACCTACGAGTACGACGGGAATGACAAAGTATTCTAGGAAATCGGAGTAAGTTTTGTTTTCCAGCGAGCGTTGAGGGCAGCAAATTGAACTTTAAAATTCAAAAAGGCGAATGCTCGCAGGACTAATACGAGTTTGAGATATCTTACATAAGAAAATAGAGGCAGAATTTGAATTTTAACTCACCATTTCATTCTCAAATATCCCATGAACCAGGAAGCAAACCATTGTAGGAAAGGGTGCACAGCGAAAATGACTGACATATGTGCAATTTTCTTTATTTCAACTCCATATTCTTAGGGTGCATATCGTAAAGTCGCACAGGTCATTCCTATGAATTCTCGATTCCAAGCAAGGCCTTTACCGGGACAAGCATTCTTTTCCTTCGTTCTTGAATCGAAGAGAGGAACGTCACTAAAGTTAGAGTATTTTTTCCTGATGTCATAAGTACATGTATAATAAATGATAATAGTAAATATATTTATACATCGCCAAACCACTAATTGTCCACGGTACTCTACGTTAAAATCATAAAAAAGCTAAAAAAAAAAAGGGGAAAGAGAAAAATATATATATATTTATATATGGGAATAAACAAATTGAAAAAACTCGGAGTAATTAAATAAATTTATGATCTAATAAAACTAAAAGCAGTTAGAAGCTTGTTTAAAAGGATACGTTTTAAAATGTCTTTTAAAACTGTCAATTGAAGAACTAGAACTTAGTTCGAGTGGGATCGAGTTCCATAGTCCTGGTCCCGCCACAGGAAACGTTCTCTCTCCACAAGTCTTTAGTCTCGCTTTTGGGGTCGCCAGAAGGTGTTGAAAAGAGGACCTTAGTGTCCGTTCAGAGGTGCGATAATTAAGTAAGTCACGGATGCAGCAAGGCACTGCTCCATTGATAGCTTTGTAGACCAGTGGAAGAATTTTATAAACCATACAGTGACGGACAGGAAGCCAGTGAAGTTTTTTTTTGGGGGGGATTGGGGTCATACGATCAATATCCTAGTACGTGTAACAATTCGAGCTGCTATATTTCAAACGGATTGCAATCTTGAAAGTAGATGCTTCGGTAGACCATATATTAGTGAGTTGCAGCTATCTAATATTGAAGTAATAAAGGCATGAACAACAATTTTGGCACTCTCTTCTTCAATTTACTTTGTAATTTGGGCGACTACTCAAACATATACACTGCAACCCCCCCTTTTTTTTCGAACCCATTAACGCCATAACCCCATTTGAACAAGTCCTCGCTGTACCAGATTTGGAATTCTTGGCTCGTTTCCAGCGCCAGCGGGGTAGATAAATTATCAAAGAGGAGTTGTGGTGATTCGGTTCTGGCCTAAGGCAGGCTGTAAAACTTGCAGTCCCAATAACCTGAGAGGAAATCACTCTTTGGGAGAAGAAGATTTCGGTTTTTGTCAGTTATCAACGTGGCCATTTGGTTGGGAATGAGACGGTTCTAAAGGCATCCCCATTGGGATTGGTAGCTTGGGTTCGATGAATGATAGGTCACGTAACCGAATTTGTACGTTAATTTGAATGTAATGATGTTACACGCCTTGGAAGTTCTAGAGAAACTATACGAATCATCTCGAGAACCAGTTGCGTTTTTGAGGGACTAAGCAAAGCTAATGGAGTAATGAAACTTACGAGTTGTATAAGTAACAAAACATAACATTATCGCATCTCTCTCCTCCACGACCAGTCATCACCATTACAATGTCCTCAAATGTTTATGGTACTTTAGCTGCTTTATTTTAGCACTAATTAATCTGTAGAGTTGTAATCGGACAGTGCAATCGGACAGTCAACTGTAATTGGACACCTGTAATCGGACAGTTAAAGCAGCTAATCACATTAAGTCCACTCCTCCAAATCCCCCAAACACAGAGTTGATTATAATAACCGTAGCAACAACCATTTACTCTACTAAACAGTGTCTCTAACAAAGATATTTTCTCAAGTAAATGTTACATGTATTTGTGTTTTTGCTAATTCTGTGGGATTTCTTGAAAAGATCAGTTTCCCATCAAATAATTGACTAAAGGAAAAATTGATCAACGAATCTGTTTCTGTCAGAAATTTGTCTTGATAAACTCAAGATGAGAGCTCATTTAACAAAATTGAGATAATTGCCCAATTAAACCTAGATAATAATGATACATTTAAAAGGTGTCGGAAGGCCGTTGATGTCTCACTAAAGGAGAGAGATATCTCAACAAATCAATAATAATAATAATAATAATAATAATAATAATATCTTTATTTGTATAGCTGTATATACAAAAGCTCTATATCGCTTTACAATCAAAAAAAGAAAATAACTAACTAACAATAACACTAAAACAAAAAGTCAAATGAAAGCGAGTCTGAAAAGATAAGTTTTCAATCTAGATTTAAAAACATCAACTGATCCACTTAATTTAATGTCTAAGGGAATATCATTCCATTGCTTTGGGGTAGCGACCGAAAAGGCCCTGTCCCCATAGCTCTTCAGGCGCACATTCGGTACTTCTAATAAATGTTTGCCAGCAGACCTAAGATTTCTTGTAGGGTTATATGGGACTATAAGTTGACTTAAATACGGAGGCGCCAGATTATTGAGAGCTTTAAAAGTTAACAGTAATACTTTAAAGGTAATTCGCTGCTCCACAGGTAACAAGTGTAGCTCCTTAAGGACGGGGCGAATGTGCGCAGCCCTAGGTTGCCCAGCTACAAGGCGTGCGGCGCAGTTTTGAACGCGCTGGAGCTTCTGAATAATATAATCCGGTGACCCGAGGAGCAACGAGTTACAATTGTCCAGTCGACAAGTAACGTAAGCATGGACAAGGGTCTTTGTGCTCTCAAAAGTCAGATACATTCTAATCTTAGCGATATTCCGAAAATGAAATAAAGCAGATTTACAAACGGAACTCACATGCTTATCCAGTGACAAGGTCTCATCAAAACAACTCCTATGTTCCTAGCTTTGTCAGACCGCTCTACACGATGATCACCAATCAGGATACTATCTAAAGATGGGCGTGGCCGATATTTTGAGCTGATAACGAGCAGTTCCGTCTTGTCCCTATTCAACTTAAGTTTGTTACAAGACATCCAACGGTCGATATCTCTAACACAAGATTCAACCTGAGAGACAGAATAAGCTTGATCATCCCCACTGAGAGAATTGAAAGACAGATACAACTGAGTATCATCAGCATAGAAATGATAGCCCATGTTGTATTGTCTGACAATATCCCCCAATGGGGAGGTATAGAGCATGTATAAAATCGGTCCAAGCACGGAGCCCTGTGGTACTCCGCACGACAGCGAACACGTGACAGACCGTGCACCACGAATGCTCACAAAATGAGTTCTGTCGCTCAGGTATGATTTAAACCAGGCCAGAGCTAGATCGCAAAGACCGAAGCGGTTTGCTAATCTCTCAATCAGTATAGTGTGATCGACCGTATCGAAAGCGGCCGATAGATCTAATAAAAGTAAGATAACAGTCCTATTCCTATCAACGTCTAGGATAATATCATTAAAAACTTTAACTAAAGCTGTTTCGGTACTATGAAATTGTTTATATGCTGATTGTAGTATTTCATCAAGTCCATTACTAGAAATGTGATTAATCAACTGAGATGCCACCACCTTCTCAGTGAGTTTAGACATGAACGTCAAATTTGAGATAGGACGAAAATACGAAAAAACTTCAACATCAAGTGTGGGCTTTTTGAGAAGAGGATTCAACAATTCAAGCTTAAAACAGCCTGGAAAAACAGCTAGACATAAAGACTGATTTACAATTTGAGTCATAACAGGCAAAAGACCTGATGTGCACTGCTTCAAAACAGAAGCAGGGACGGGATCAAGAGGACAGGATTTGATGGTCATCTTACTAAGTAATTCCGAGACATCAGACGATGTTACAGACTTAAAACATGACAAGGCACACTGATGGACAATGCCATCGGACTCCACAACAATATCAGATGTGGAGTCAAGTGAGTTTCGCAGAACTGTAATCTTCTCACTAAAGAAGTCAATGAACTTGTTAGCAAGATCACCATCGGACGCACACCCTGAAGGATACTCCGCTGGCACGCGCTTAAGTAGGAGCTTCTTTACCGTATTGAAAAGAGTTCGGGGATTATTACTACTCTCCCGTATAATGCCTGAGTAATAGTCAACTTTCGTTTTCTTGATCAAAGCGTTCACTCTAAGGCATTGTTCCTTAAATCTAGAATAATCCGATTCTCGTTTTGAAGAACGCCAGCGCCGCTCGAGAGCTCTGCGTTTTCTCTTTTCAGATCGTATTTCCTCAGTGTACCATAGGGCGGTTGGGCGAAGAGTAATGGTCTTAGTCTTCAGAGGCGCGTGTCTGTCTAACAACGACTTTAATGTAGTGTTATACTCATAAACAAGTTCGCCGAGACTAGAAGGAGCAGCATCCCTTACTAGCCTGGTGTTCTCCAACTGACCACAAAACTCGCTAAAATCAATATCACGAATCTTGCGATATGAGATTCGTTTACGCTCGAGTGGTAATTTAGCAAGGTCCAACAAACTGTGTACAGCAAGATGATCCGAGACAAAAGGATTGTCCATAGTACAGCGGCCAACTAATTTCTCATGAGCTCTCGTTATATAGTCAAATCGAGTATGTGACCATTCTTATGAGTCGCTTCAGAGACGTGCCGGATCAAATCGAACGATTCCAGGACTTGTAAGAATCGTCGAGCATCGCAATCATTGGAAGCGAAGTAGATCCATGTTTAGTCCACTTGTAACTGGAAGACTGGATTTGAAATAACTCTAGAATCTCAAATCGAGTCGAAATTTGCCGCCGAGCTTCACGACAAATATCAAACCAGCATCACCAGAAAATACAGTCCCCGTCAAAAATAACCCCAATGGACTACGTAGTAAACATTTAGACCCATTTTGAATAGGTACTCGCGTTAGAAATAGGAATGTAAAAGCATAGAAAGTCAATAAAGCGACGGAGCTAAAGCTCCGCGAGGCCGCCATTGATGCGCCTCATGTAAGGCGCAAATAAATCAAATAAATCAACCTCTCACTTCCTAAAGTTCGGAAACCCCTCCGGAGATTATTGATTATTCACCCGACGGAATGATGAACTTTGCGCTTCAACAACACTAGCGAAAGTAGCTTTAACAACACCAAAAAGATACAGTGGAATCTGTTTTGTTTACTGACATCTGGTAAGTGATAATTCATTGTTTCATGTAAACTTGCACTGATTACATGTAGATAATTTAAATAGCAGGTGATAAGAGGATTTGGCCCTTGGGAAGGTCAATGCAGATTTTCTAAAGTGCAACAAAGACACGTAAACCTTGGAGTACTTAGACGTGTTATTTGTCTTAGGCTCACTGTCAGTGTTAAATAAAGCAATCAGAGTAACAGATCACACCATCTCTGTTACCGGTCACATACACACAAATAACCTGCAGGGGTTATTAAATTAGGTTTTAACTGGTCTTCATTTCGGAGCTCTTTTTGTTGGAATGGCTTGGAAAGAACTACCAGCGTAGACATCATTCAGATTTTACACATTTAACCCAACACGCTTTCCTGTAAGATTCACCTGCTAAGGTATGATTTAATAAAAATAAGGAATACTAAACTCCTACAATTTAAACTACTTTATTAAACAACGCATAATGATTCTTTCTCAGGAGCTACTCGTATAGGCAATACAATAATTGTCCTTTAAAAACTTACTTAAGCCTACTACAGACTAAAACTTAGCTCTCTACTGAGAGAGAATCTCCACAAAATACACAATCTTTTAAGTATATCACAGTACTGAGTACTGAGCTATCTTTTGTAGAGCTTCTACATTAGTACTCCTAGCTGACCGAGTCCTTATATACCGTCATAACGTACTTCAAAACATTCCAGAATTCGAAGCTTACAACACAACTGTTGTGGTAGAAATAGATCGTAACCACATAACCCATTAGAATGTTCTAGTTTTCCGTGATATGTCACCAGAAAGTTTGAGTATCGATGTCATAGTGACTTAAAATTCTAGAAATTATTTATTTCTCTATCCAAAACACACCGAACACGATTTAAAAATCCTTATAAATCATGATGCTAATGAAAACACGACTGAACATAGTAAACAACTTGCTTATAATCACGGACCGCCGTGATCCATCATGGAAGGCTTTCAGACAGAATAACAACTTCATGTACAGAAGGCGTGGGTATCAAAAGCTGCTTTAGTTTCTAACGACCTGAGTAAACATCAAGAGTTCAAAAAGTTTAGTAATAAGCAAAATACAATGCTCAAAGTTTTGCTTAAAACTTACTGAAGATGTTTGATTGGAATAGATAGAGATGATGATAAGATTATCGGGAAGCTCATTAATGCCCATAGTTGTTGACACTAGCTGAGGGTGGGGGGAATCTCTTCTAATGCTCGAATAAACAACAACTGTTCAGTCGAATCTGATGATGATTTCCGCCGAGGTTATAGAAACGTCAATCAGTAACACTGACAACCTTCAGTCACAATTTCCCAGGAGTACTCTTACTTGGAAGATCAAACTACGCGGTCCAAAGGTACTCTTCTGTTCAAACTATTCACTGTTTAACACTAATCATAAAAAGTGAATCATGTGAAATTCTTAAAGTCCCTGTTATACATTAATGTGCCAATAATTAAATCGACTTTTGAATCCTTTCGTTGAGCAGAATGACTTGCTTATAGCACTCAGTCTGTGCCACAGTAGCGCAGATTACAAGCAGGTACCTTTAGTAGTTTGTAAATAAAGTAGGATCCGCAGTCTTTCACTTTTATGTTAATTGATTTCTTGCAACAATCTCCAACTCTGATAAAGCAGACCTTGGAGGAAACCTCACCATCTGCCAATGTGGGGTGACCACCTTTTAGCCAGCTTGACCAGACCGCACCACATCTATTATACGGTACGCACTGGGTTGGCATTTTTGTTCCTGCATCTCCCACGAAACGATACCAATTCCCGAATATTATGGATGAGGATTCGTCGTCACATTTTTCTCTACCGTAGGGTGTGTTGTAAGTGCTCTTTCTGTCAGCATCGCTCAGGTTTCTGTAATTATAGCACGGATCGGCTAAAAAGTTGAATTTCGGTTAGAGCGATGTTTTATATATTTCGTTATAGGAAAGCTTAAGGAGAAAAGCTATTATATAAACTGCGGTGGTTTAAAACGATTTTCTGCCCTGAGAAGAGCCAGGAAATCCTTGTTAAACGCGCGTATAACATTACGATAATTTTTTACATGTGTTTGATATCACCAATCAGCTGTGTTAGGTTAATGAATGAATGGCAAAGCGATGACCGTTCTCAATCCAGGGTCGCATGTCGAGATTTTCTCGAATTATGGCTGCTAAAAAAAATAGCCGAGTTTGTCATACAGCCTCAATACAAAATCCCTTAAAAGATACCATGTTCCAAGAATTTCAATACGTGACTGTGGCGCGATCGCTCAGTGATCGCTTTTCATAAAGCCCTGCAATCATCGACTGCTGACCACAAAAAAAGGTTGTTGATGAATGTAAAGCCATCAAACTTGTTAATAAGTGCTCCCGCAAAAATTTCCCTGGGCTAGAATTATTTAACTGTGAAAAAGTTTTCTGTGTCTTAGTGGAATTGAAGTGAAGTAACTAGTTTCCCTTTGATCTGTGCAGATATGCCTGGAAAACTTTGTTGGAGCTGATTACTGCTTAAGGAATAGAAAACCTTTTTTCCATGTTTACATACTCTCACCTAAATACGAGAGGAGGTTGGGAGAATTTGAGAAAGTTATGCGAACCCGATACGCGGTCAAGGGTTTGCATAACTTTGAAGAAATTTCCAAGCCTCGAGTGTTTAAATGAGAAAATGTAAACAAGGGAAAACGTGCCCTATATATTATAAGCAAAATTCTCTAATAACGTTACAGAGAAAGGTAAATGTTGAGAAAGATGTTTTTTCGTCTTGTCACGAGCGTGGGATAAAGAAAAATTCTGGGTCCACATGAGGAATCGAACCTCAGACCTTCGGATTTGCGCTCCGATGCTCTACCAATGAGCCACAAAGACTCTTCGGTGAGCGAGGTCTATTACGAAGTTCTTATAACACGCGTCCTGCATACTGCTAGGATCAACAATGTCGATAGCGTAATGTTTTTGATAGAAATAGTAGAGATGTTAAGTTTTGAGCTCGGTGAAGAAGATTCCTCATGGGGACTCAGAATTTTTCTTTATCCCACGCTCGCGACGAGACGAAAAAACATCTTTCTTAATTCTTCATCGAGCTCAAAACTTACCATCTCTACTATTTCTATCAAAGGTAAATGTTGTATGTTTATAACATGACTGATAAATATTTTCTCAACACATGCTCTGGACGACAGTGTTTCCTAACAGCCAATCAAATCGTGCATCCGACAAAAATTCGCGTTTTAAAAAGTCAAGTTGCTATGCTCGTAGTTTCGTCGGCTACACTCAAATTTGTCTACTTTTTCCTTATTTAGACAGATATTCTTCCATTAATTACTATTTAGATAAAAAAAAAACAAACTGAATCTTGCTATCAGTCTAAAGGTGATTCCTCAGTATTGCACTGGGCATCCTGTACTGCGCATAAAAATCACGTATTCAGGCAAGTAAGCGCACACATTCCGAGAACACGGTATTGCTTTTCAATAAATGGACCATGCAAACAGGCACAATGCTCTTTAGCTCTTGAACGAGCGGGGTGACCTCTATTTTTCATTGCATAATTTTTTTGTACAAATCTTCCCCTTTAACTTGGAGAAATTAAGAAAATTGTCGAAGGCAAAAAAAAAAAAGAAGAAAACATAGCTAAAAACGTGCACAAAGCCTGTTACTTGATGATGAAAATCATTACCTTGAAAACAACGACGTGAGGAACGTGATAATAATTACTAATATATATAAATAATTTCCACAAATTACATATCAAATTTTCCACACGCTCGAGACTTTGTACCTTTTAAGTTTTTTCTTTTAATTTTTACTTCGGAAACCCTTTATTCCAGCTACCTAAAAATGTACCTTGAAATGACGCGCGGGAAAAATTGCTAGTAGGCATAAATGAGGTAAGTGTTGCCCGTCATTTCTCTCAAACAAGCAAGGTGACCTGCCTTTCTTATTGCATTTTTCGAAACAGCCATTGGTAGGAAATATTTAAAGGCAGAAAAAAAATGCTAAAAAATGTTAGATGACTTTTTTTTTTTTTCCTGAGGAATCATCTTATTAGGTCAGTGAGAAAATCGTAACTGCGGTCAACATCGATTTTAACCAATCAGACTATTCTGTTTAATTGAGACATCATCAATATGATTGCATTTGCAGAACAGTTATGCATCATCAAGAATAAATTATTTTCTCCCCTGGTGGACAAAAACAATGCCTTCAAGTCCAAAAATATGATGTAAAAAATCAAATTTATCTTTCTTTATCCCCGATGTTTTGTCGATGGACGTTTCCAAGCAAACTAAAGGTACTAAAAACTAACGTGATTTGTTACATGGCCAAACAAGAATAGCCATTCACTCAACATTATTTACAGCGAGTTCAGCCAGTACCCTCTCTAAAAAATATATAAGGCATGGATCAAAAGAGACTAACCTTTACAAGTCAGACCATCCCCAGTGTATTTAGGATTACAGGCGCAGCTGTAGGAGCCCTGGGTATTACTGCAAGAGGCGTTCTTGTCGCAGATGTTCATCTGTGAACACTCGTCAATGTCTGATGGGGATCAAGTGCACCACGTCACAACCCAGAGTTGATGTTATGATGAAAAATGTTTTGGTGAATCAAGATATAATGAATAACTATCCAAAATACTGCAAATCTAATCTCAAAGGATGTGAGACAAAACAAAACAATCCACAATTTTTATTGAGGGATGAATTTTAGGATAAATGTTTGACTACTTCCGGCCTTATAATTTAAGCTAAAAAGACGTTTCAGATTACCTCCCGCATCGAGTAGCTGGGATTGTATGTATAGAAAGAGCAGCAATGGAGGTTGTCTCTCTTCGCACATAAAGGACTTTTCTGGACATTGAAGAAAAGTTATCAAAATCACCTGAGCAAGTTTGTCCATCTCCAGTGTATCCAGTGTGGCATTTACATACATGTGATCCAATTGTGTTGGTACAGTTAGCATTCACATGACAAGAAAGATTTCTTGCACATTCGTCAATATCTGAGAAATGACAGGCTTTCAATCACGATTCTTGGAGTATGATACATGTATAAATCTCCTTATTTTGAGCATTGAGTGCATTTCGTCCTCTTGCTTTCAATTGGGATCATTTTCTACCATTGGTCAAAAATATTAAGGCAAGGGTAACTACTTTATCAAAACAAACAAACAAACAGAGAAGGTACGTACAAAATAAACAAATAATTGAAAATAAAAACACAAGCAAACAAATAGTCATAACGAGGCAATTACAATCTAAAGGCCTTTACCTGTGCAGTTCCGTCCATCTCCGTTAAATCCAAATAAACAGGTGCACACAAAGGATCCATTTGTGTTTTGACAAGTAGCGTTCAGGTGACAATTATGAGTATTTTCTTGGCATTCATCAATATCTAAAAAAATTGGAAAGAAAAGAAAAATTATACAACGTTAGTGGTTACACGAGTGAGAGATACATTCGTTTTTTTAAACTTTTAGGAGGTGACAGGTCATTAAGTTATTTATCATTGTGACAAATTAATTATTAATTTAGACTAAACAAAAACTTCCACTGCAGTGGAATCTCTCTCTAGACACCGTTCCAAACTGTAGTCGGATATCAATCGTCAAAGATTAGCCTTGCTAGCCTTCCTTGGTAGACTTTTTTTTCGCGGAATATGAAACTTCTAATTTCATTCCTTAAAAAATTATATTTTTTTCTTACTAAAGGCCTATTTTTATCTTTTACATGAAAATATTTTTCTTTCGGTAAGGAAAAAATCAACTGAGAATTTTGTAAAAAGAAAGTTACGCCCTTTGTCTGTTTCTGTAATGGTTCAACGCATTCTTTCATCTTGACCCTTATCGCCGACGCGCTTTATGATTTTTTTTCGCGGATTGTGAAACCAATCATATCATTCTTTAAAAAAGTCACCTTTCATTCTCAGTAAAGGCCTATCGTGTTTACATGATAATCAAAATAGTACATGGTTGCTTGCGGTCATGTAACTTTTCTTCTCTTGTTCAACTCGATACCAAGAGATTATAACAGTTTATATTCTCATAAGATAGCGACTCGAACACTCGAGGAGGTGAACACGTGAGGACAAAATGACCGAGTTTCTTAGTGATAAATTGTCTAATTGTCTTGCAACGCAACTGGATGGTGCGGCACTGTAGTCGAACGTGTCATGCAGGACTATTCTACTATATTGTAGATAAGAGATTAAATTTACCTGTGCAGTTTTCTCCATTTCCAGTATATCCAGCATGACATTGACATACATGTGATCCAAGGGTGTTCATGCATGCAGCATTCACGTGACAAGAGTGATTTCCTTTACACTCGTCAATATCTGAAAAATCATAAACAAAAAAAAAATGTAATTGGAGAAAAGTTGCGGGGCATAAGCTGAGAAGTCTTTGTCTTGTGGTTCTAGACGTGAGCACTTACGTTACCACTTACCAGATTTTTACTCGGTTTCCCCAAGTTCAAATCCGTTGTTCTGTCCTGTAAGCCTATCCATCAAGTCCCCTTTGCCAGTTGAGATTTTTTTACCACTGAATGTTTATTGAATACAATGGTGTCATTATCGCCATTGTCTTCAGGCCTACACTCATCTCTTTTTATACAAGGTATTCTGGTAAAACAACTCTTGCAAAGATGATAGTGCTTTTCTTTCTAATGGGAATGGTTACAAAGGAAACGCATTAAGTACCTGTGCAGTCGCTTCCATTTTCAGTATATCCGTGGTGACAAGTAAAAACGTGCGATACTTTGGTGTTCGTGCATGTAGCATTCACGTGACAAGAGTGATTTCCTTTACGCTCGTAAATATCTGAGAAACTATCGATAAATTTTGCACTTTATCATTTTTTGACCCACAGTCATGTAATTCCTCTTCCTAAAAAATGTGTAACAAAATGTGTAGATCGTGGTAACTCTTTGCATAAACATGCATGGATAACGCTGCATAAAATTATGAGACGATTAACAAAAATTAGTTACATATGGAAATATTCAAACTACCTGAACACAAGCGTCCATCGCCAGTGTATCCCACTTTACATGTGCATTTGTAAGAACCATATGTGTTAGTACAGTTTGCATTCACGTCGCAGTCACTGATGTTAAATTTACATTCATCCATATCTAAAATGTGAGTAAGTTAGAGCAACTTGAGAGAGGCATCCACGCTAGAAATGATCCAAACCAAATATTACGATAATGATATCAATAATAGTATAATTTATAATAATTTCATGATACTGATAACTCGCCACAAAATAAAATAACTCAAGCAAAGTTATAGGACCTACCTTCGTTAACCATATCACAGTAAATCAGTTTTGCCTTTCCTTTCCTAGTTGGATCTAACCAGTACTTGCCGCTTATGGTGTGTTTACCTTCACTCGCCTTTATTTCGTGACAAGACAGCGCCGGTAATTCAGGGATAGAACCTAAGGGAGCTGCAGTAAAGATATGTTTTACATTCACTTCCTATTCTTAGCCCTTCCAGGTGAGAAGGAACCAGGCTGAGGATGGAGAAGATTTAAGAGAAATAGAAATCACACAGATAGAGAGACATTTGATTTCTCACCTCTGCCGTTCAATCGCCGGATGTAAAACCACGTGGGTGCTGAAAGGAAATTCTCTGGTCTCGCCTCCTTGGTGCGGTTATTTAGTTCACATATTTGGTATTTTCGATTGTAGTTATAGCTTTGACACGTGATCTCTTGTCCACATTTGACATCGCAAAGATGAGGAACCGCCAGTGACCACCTTTTGAAGACATGACTCTCGAGAGCCATTCCTTGTATGTTTACTTCTGTCCTACATTGATCGTTAGCTGCGACAAACCCCATGGTAGAAGCGAAAAGGACGAATCTTAAATGGCAGAACAGCCACCACATCTTTGCTTGAGCTGAATCTGAAAATATTGAGAATAGGATCATAGAAAGAAAAAAAGACGAGTTTCCCCTCAACAAAACTTGTTTGATACCAGATGAAGCCATATAGCAATAATACTACACGCATATTAAAACCTTATCTGTAAATTCGTTCAGGCACTTTCTAGTTCATGATGTGAGTAAACAATTTGCACAAGGCTCGATAGGATGTCAATTGCCAAGGAAGATCAGCACAGCTCTTAACATTAAACTTTAATTTTGAAGGCTCCTTCGGTTTCTGTGGAATGATAACTTTGATCTTCTTAAGGCATTTTGAAATGTCCTCCTGATAGGCCTGATCAATTTACGCCCCCATAGAAGAACGAATGTTCAAGCATTAAAAATCTTCATTTCGAAATATTGGTTCCAAATGTGAAGTGACAACGACTCACACTCCACAAAAACTTCAGATTTAAATAACATAGTCTCATTATGAGCGAGAAAAAATACAATCTTTAACAAGTTGGCTAATTAACATTTATAAGCTGCTGATTATCCTCATTCAGTTATGAAATGAAAATCCCGAAGATTGTTTAAACCCTTTATTCATCTACAAAGTTCAGTAACCAAAAGGGGAAGAAAAATTCAAATACAAGGCTTCCAAACTATATGTGATGAATAATCCTTTCTAGGTCGTTCTTAACACATTCAACATTTTGGACGGGGTTCAAACTTTAGCGACCTTTTGGTAATTTTTTTAGATAAACAGAGCAACATATTATTTACCAGAACTTTTGTGGTGCATAGAAGTAATCATGTAAAGGTTTAGTTAGTAAACCTCGAGTATTGATGATCTGCTTTCGTTGAAAAAGACCTCAAGATAATTTTCTTTTAAAATTGCACCATACCCTTATTTGGGAGTGAAGCCAACCATTTTCCTTTCGTATGCAGAATTAAAGGAGCCGCGGCTTAAAAACCTTTTCGTAAAGAATATATATTTTCCAGGGAAAGTATTACTCAAATCATTATATCAATATCAATATATCAATCCTTGGAATCTTTATAGCCATCACGGAAACATTGCCGCATTGAGGTTCTTAAAATCATGTAAGAACGTCGAGCAGCAGACTTGTAGAACATCAAGGCGGCAAAACATTCACTACATTTTATTCGTGCCTTGAATTATGCATTGCCTCCATTTCATTTTCTACGGTCTTCTTAAGAACAGGAATTTATGAAGAAACGGTTTCAATGGTTTTTTCTCCTTATAACTTTACTTTTACTGTGCTGTCTTGTAACTTAACCAGCCCACTGAGGAGAATACGGGAACATGGAGAAAAATTGATACTACCTTCATTTGCGGATTTTTGCCTATCTGACTCACTCACTGCGGCTTTGCCTATCTGAGAACATAGGTATTTAGGACAATTTTCCATGTCTCAATTTCGTGCTCAGAGATTTCCTCATTATTTCAGCTGAGACATCTATTTCGATAAAGAAGGTTAACACATAAAATGCTTAAGGAAAAGAAAAGTTGAACTAATGCTTTTAATTGTTTTTTTTTTGTTTTTTTTGATGCCGCTGTTACCGCAGTTATATCCTACATTTCTAATTTTTTGTATTATAGGGCCTTAGATAATTAACTCTAGCCCCGACTCCCTCCCAAAAACATTAAAAACAACAACGAAACGAGAACAAAATTTGGTAGCATCGATGAACACTTGTCTTTGGTGAAGACACAAGGTTTCTAGAAAGCATTTTCGTGTGTTTTCGCTAAGTCATGAAAAAGATATTCATTTTCCTCTATAAACCTTTTTTCGCTTTTTTCATTATACAGGTCCTTGAAAATTTAAAGTTTCATATTCGAGTTTACATGATCGTCTTTGGTTATTTAGACCAATGACCAATAAGACAAGCCATCGTTGTTGATTTTTGACTTAGTCTTTGCTAGTTGCTGTTACCTTAACTCTTTTTGTATCAGCAAGGAGGAGAAATATAAATAAGGTTGCTCTCATCCGTGAATCGAAGGATAAAACTTTCTTCGCCGTCTGCGACTCACCTTTTCTATAATTCAATAATGCATTCTAGGCTACGATCATGAAAAATTAAACAAATTCCGTGCCTGCTTCGAGGTAACGATTTTCTGTTTCTACCCCGCATACATGGCATAAGTTTAAGTTGATCACCAGCCCTCATCAGTGGATTCAACTTCCAAAATCGACCTGTTTTTTGTGAACGCAACCGTTTTATGAAAATGAATTAAAGAAAAAAGCTTGCAGCTGTCAGTTCTATGTGGAAATTAAAGCAAATGACGCAAATGGATGTTATCCGCTTCGCTCGATGAAGAGAATTGGGTCTCTTAAGAATAACTCTTTATCTTTACATGTTAACATACGTATCAGACACCGAAATCAGTCCTTAGAACAATATTATAAAAATTTAGCGTGTGGATATCTCCCTCCACCAGGTGTTCTTAAACTACTCAAAACTCCCTTTATTCTCTTGGAATCTGACGACCGCCTTTTTGCATATCGTGTCTATAACAGACGCATTCTCTCTTGGTATAAACATATCTAAGAGGGCTAGACAACCTGTTTTCCTTCTTTTTCAAAATTGCCTGTAGTCAAAAATTGCGTCTGTGAATAGTGTTCTTTTTGGATTCTTTACCTTCCAATTCTTAAGAGGATTATGAAATAAAGTGGGGCATTCCTAATCTCAGCCACGTTGCGTTAAAATAATGATAAGGTTAACTAATATCAGAAGAAAACTTCGAGTCATTACATTCCGATATTATTTATCAATTCAATGATGCACAACGGTCGTGGTGGTGGTGGTCGTTTATCAGAAATAAGTTAAATTCCTTTTCCCCGACAAGTTCAAGCTTGATCGATGATTGTGCGAGATTCTCCAAGTTTTCTTTACTTTGTTTTCTGACCCTGAGTTTAGTTAGGAACATATTTACTTTTATATCTAAGTAAGAAAGTGGTTTTAGTTTCACGATCAAGCTTTAGGTAATTTCTTACGTTAGTGATGGTTGATTTACATGTCCTCGCATGTTCTCGAGGTTCCAAGGTCTTTAACACACGGTAACACACTGACAGTGAGGCCTTCTTTGGTATATGCATTCTTCTAATTGCGGATAAGCTTCAAGGTAAATAAGGATGTTTATGGGGATAATGGGGAATTTAATAATTTATTAGGTCTAATTACCACTATTCCTACTCTAACCATTATTGTCTTCCACAATAGATGGGCGCGCGTAGATAATTTCCCTTCTCGTTCACTGCACTCACTCGTGAGTGTTGAACACGAGACAGGAAATTCCATATCTACAGGGAACCATCTATTTTTTTGTTTATTATATAAACACCATATGCATTTACTGACAAAGATAAATTTAACAAACAACCTTGGATTGAGAAAAGAAAACACACTTTGCACCAAATCATTCATCTTAAAAAAGAAAACAAAAAAAATGAGTTCATCAAGGATTCTTTTCTAAATAATTTGCTAAAACTGTTTTTGCATAAGGCCTTTTATGAACGAAAAAACTACTTCGATCACTTCCCTCTGAGTAGCATCTACATCTGGATATGTAAATCATTATTACGTCCATTTGAAAATTGCAGGTACTTGACGCTAATGACAAAGGATTCGCGGAAGGAATGTCAATTTTTTTGCAAACAAATGTTAAGGGAAGCAAACTGATCATTAAAGTTCATAGAATGCGAACATTTACAGGACTACTACGACTTTGAGATAACGTACAGTAGAAAATAGGAGTAGGAACTAAATTTCCAACACACCAGGTTCATCCCTAAATGTTTCCTAAACCCGAAAGCTAATTACTGTATGAAAAGTTGTAAGAAATGTGATGGAAAATTTAAACAGATCGAGTTACCAAAATCTACTCGCGAACAAAAACTTAAAGTAAGATAAAATAGAAATTGAAAAGAAATGAAAGTAGACCAGCATATACTCTAGCTTCTTTATTTAATCTCTTTATGATTGTGATGAATAGCATAAAATCGTGCAAGGCATCCTCATGAATTCTCCGGAGCGATATTATTTTAGGGGAGATGGGACAAAATCCGTAAAGAGAAGCGATCTGTCAATCTTTTTAAAGTGTCTTATCTAAGTCATAGTGGAGAAGTTATAAAAAAAAAAAAATTGCATTCGCCACGCTAAAGGTATGGTCCCGAGGGAAACAGTTAGTTTTGTTTTCCCTCGAGTCGAGGTAATTTATGCTAATACGCAATGAGACGTACCATTGTTTCCTGACATCACGCAGCAGATTAAAAATGTTTTTCCTGATAAATTCAGTATAAACGTGATAAATCGACCCTTCCCGGAAGATAAGTAAATTTGAAAGTTGAACATTATATATCTCAGATGGATAGTAGTCAAGTTATCATTTCTTTTTTAACTGTTTACAGATGCCACCTGTTATGTACACCCAGCCTTTGTGAGTATGAAGGAGGTTCTTTCCAGAAATAACACGGCAAAAACTATTTCTTCCTCTGTAAAAAGTTTTGATCTTGGCATTTGAAGTCGACGAAAAGATTAAGAAGGATCTTTCCAAATCAAAGTTGTTTTTGATAAATGGCAAATGAGCGAACGTTGCGACGCCATAAATTTTCAAACTAGAGAAACTTTACAAGTTGTACGCAACAGTTATGCAAATTTTTCCAATAATCCAACCATACTGGGTCATTAAGTTTTTGGTGAAATTTTTGAAGAGAGTATTTTAAACTAGTCCTTAAAGACTTTTGCGTCAATAGCTTTCTTTAGAACTTATAAAATACTCTTTCATGTTCCAGCAATGTTCTAAGGTAAAACGAAATTCTCTGAGATGGTTGAGAGCGGTAAAAATCTACCTCCTTTCGATGAAAACACATCAAATTCCGTTTGCTAAACTACAATGGAAGTTAACTTAACAGTGTAATATGTGCATGTTATTGAGAGAACAGAGTTGGGAAAGTAGGATTTTTTAATTGACCTAACTGGTGGTCGAAGTTGTTTGTGTTTTGCATCTTATATCCAACTTTCTGAGTAGGATGCGCTTAAAAATCTTCGTTAAATACTCTTTAATTTTACAAAAATGAGTTTCAGTCATGGGTGGAGGTTGAACGTGGCTGTTTACCTTACTTAATTTATTTGTAACTTTTATTCGTTCTGCATCAGCGAAGAGAATGAAAGTGATATATGAAATAAGATTGCACTCATAAATGAATCGAACGATGGAAAACGATTGGCAGTTTTCCAGTCACCTTGACCGAACGTCAAGCAAGTCAATTCAAGATTACGGTCTTCTATTTCTTCCCCGCATGTGTGCTAAAAGTTTTAAGTCGATCACCAGCTCCCAGCAGTGGACTAAGCAGCCCAAACCGACCTATTGTTATGAAGGAAAGCGTATCATGAAAATACATCAAACAAAGCTCTCAGCAGCTGTCAGTTCTATGTGGACATTAGCGCAAATGACGCAAATAGATGTTTTCCGCTGTGCTCAATAAAAAGGAATAAGGTCTCTTAGGGAACATTATTCGATATTCTTAGAATAACAGAAACTTAAACCTTCAAGTTCTATTGGACTTTTTGATCCAAATACTTTCAAAATGTGAAAGATCAAAAAATGCATCCCGCGCAAAAAAGATAAACACGAAATGTTCGACGTATAATTATTTTATTACCAACTTTGGTAATAATAAACATGAAATTAATAGAAAAGTCATGATCCTATTCAATTATTCGGAAATTTGTCAGTTTTTGGAGTTACATTAATAACTGCGATCGACATTTTTCGTGGAAAATGTTCTCGAAGCACTTAAAAAAACATTCAAACCAAAAAAAGGCAGTTTTAAATTTATGGGGCGTTATGATCTATAATATTGTAGACGGGCTATCGAAACTGGTCTGTGATCCGCTATCATATCTGAAAACAAAGAAAAACGATTTGATTACAACATATACGAAGCGGGGAACGACAACCGTGCACTATCTGAAATTGATATGTGATAGACGTTGTACTACAATGTCATTCGTTTATTTTTTAAACGTTTGAGGTTATTAATCTGGATAATGAAGGATATTGAATGACGGAAAGTGAATGAAAAATCGTGCAACGCCCGACCCATTATTTTCGTTGAGGACAGTGTGGATTCAAGACCTTTCGTCCTTCAGTTCGCGAAAAATTTTTGGTCGAATTATTGCTCTTTAAGTTTTAAAGAAAGAAATGTGTTGGTGTTAATTTTGTGTTGCTATTTATATTACTATTTACCATAATTCAGTCCATCCTCATCGTGGCCAGAGGCCCTCAATGCTGTTTGCCCTTTGCCTTCTTCTCAGCTCTTCCCAGCTGACTCTTCTCTCCCCCATCTCTTTTTTGAATTTCAAGGTGTGAGATTAATAACAGATTTTATTACGACAATGCCCTTTACAAACGGCTTTTTTTCTAACTGAACGACCCTTTTTTTCAATTCACACGTGACAACTTACTGGCGAAAATTTGTCGCGACAATTTACTCGTTACACATGACCCACGAATATTGGCCACTTCTTTTCCTGTAAAACTGGAATTTAAAAATAAAAACAAAAGAAATAATGGGACCATTACTTTCTCTTGATGAAAACAATTACCCTGTTGTTACGCTATTTGTTGACCTTTGTTACCCTGATAGTAGCAGTATGCAGGACGGGTGTCCGATATATGAACTTTAATATAGTATAGAAGTCTATAGTCATATAGAGTCTCTGTGGCTAAATAGTAGAGCATCGGAACACGGAATCCGGAGGTCTGAGGTTCGATTTCTCGTGAGGGCTCAGAGTTTTTCTTCGTCCCACGCCCGAGACAAGATGAAAAAACAGCTTCCTTCATTCCCAAAATCTTACCATCTTTCTTTTTTGCTATTAACAAAACATGACGTTAACGACATCGCTGATCCTAGCAGTTTGCTGGACGCGTATCATGCATGAACTTCGGAGTGGGCCTTGCCCACCACAGACTCTCCGTGGCTCAGTTGTAGAGCATCGGAGGGCGGATTCCGAAGATTTGAGGTCCGATTCTCATGGGGACATGTATATTTCTTTAGCGGGCTCGAAATCTAACCATCTTTCTTATTCTATTTGTTACCCTGTGGATGTTTTCCAAATAAGTCAAAAGGATTATGCATAAGGTGCTCTATGGAGAAGAAACCCAACTTCCTTTTACTAGAGGGGGGCGTTTCTAAAGAAATTTTGGTGCTGCGTGGATGGGAGAGTATCACAGGGTAATTTAGTTTTAGCAACTGAGTTAATAACGTAGATTGGAATCCGTAAAGAGTTTTAAAGCTGACGTTTAGAGCGTTCGCCCTTCGTCAGAGCGAGTAACTACGGGCTGACGCTCGATTCGTAAGCTTTAGCCTCTGTACATTGGCTAATTTAGGTTATCAACTCAGTTGATAATACTTAATTACCTTGTTACCTCCCTTACTTTCTGCTGAGCATCATTTGGTTCTGGATATTAAAATCATTATGAAGTCCATGAAAAACCTACGAGTACGACGGGAATGACAAAGCATTCTCGAAAATCAATGTTAGTTTTGTTTTCCAACAAGTGTTAAGGGCAGAAAATTAAACTTTATAATTCAAAAAGGGCGAATGCTCACAGGACTAATACCAGTTTGAGATATCTTACATAAGAAAATAGAAGCAGAATTTGAATTATAACTCGCCAGTTTCATTCTCAAATGTTCCATGAACCTGGAGGCCAACCATTGTAGGAACGGATGCAAAGCGAAAATGAAAATAGACTAGCATATATTCAAGTTTTTTTATTTCATCTCTACAAACTTAGGGTGCATATCTTAAAATCTCACAAGTCATTCTTATGAATTCTCGATTCCAAGCAAGGCCTTTACCAGGACAAGCATTCTTGTCCTTCGTTCTTGAATCGAAGAGAGGAACCTCACTAAAGTTAGAGTATTTTTTCCCGATGTCATAAGTACATGTATTATAAATGATAATAGAAAATGTATTTATACATCGCCAAATCCACTAAATTTCCATGGTGCTTTGCGTTAAGATCATGAAAAAGCTAAAAGAAAGGGGGAAAAAGGAAAAAAATTTCTATATCTATATACAGGAATAAACAAATAGAAAAAAATTCTGAGACAATTAAACATATTTACTATCTAATAAAACTAAAAGGAGTTATGAGCTTTTTTAAAAAGACACGTTTTAAAATGTCTTTTAGTCTCACTTTCGTGGTCGCCAGAAGGTGTTGAAAAGAGGACTGACCATAGTGTCCGTTTAGAGGTGCGACAATTAAGTGAGTCACTAATGCAGCAAGGCACTGCTCCATTAATAGCTTTGTAGACCAATGAAAGAATTTTATAAACTATACAGTGACGGACAGGAAGCCAGCGAAGCTTTTTTTTTTAGGATTGGGGTCATACGATCAACATCCTAGTACGTGTAACAATTCGAGCTGCTGTATTTTAAAAGGATTACAATCTCGAAAGAAGATGCTTAGGTAGACCATATAGTGGTGAGTTGTAGTTATCTAATATTGAAGTAATAAAGGCATGAACAACAATTTTGGCACTCTCTTCTTCAATGTACTTCGTAATTTGGGCGACTACTCAAACATACAAACCATACACTACAGCACACGTTTTCTCGTATAGGAAAACGGGAGGGACAAAAGTGGATTCAGACATCTGGAGGAGCAGACGGACGAATGGCTGGCTGAATAAGACTTACAATTGGATTCATGGAAAGATAACTTAAAGGGTCAGGTAGAGTTTTTCATAAAAGCATTTCACCAAATGAAAAATGTTTTTTTACCCACCGTTTCTTTCCTCGCAATTGGTGCCCTTGTATTCAGGTGGACAAAGGCATCTGTAACCTTTGTCCTGTCTGACATGTGCCATCATGTTGGCATGGAGTCTGTCCACAACTGTTCTGGTGTGAAAACGAGGTTTAAAAGCAGATATATGCCAACTGAAGTGGTAATTGGTAATGATACTTTGAAATGAAAATTGAAATGTCACATGAGATCAAATCAACCAAACAACCAGCCACGTAACCCGCCAACCATACGAACCAGTTGCAAAAAAACATTGCGCAACCAGCCAAGCAACATACTAGTGACACAACTTACCGTCGAAACATTCACAAGGTAAACAACCCGAGGTAGAGCTTTATAACTTTGTATACGAATCTACCAAATGATAAGTAATTTTATTCGCTTGGCCATGATAGGATACCAATCAATCATCAAAAATCACCAAAACCAAGGATAAACGAAAAGCACAAAGAGGAAAAGAATGTACTCACTATTGTTGCTTTATATATGTAGTTTGTCCAAGACTTGAGATTCTGAAGATGTTCATTGTGTGTGGAATTATTCAGTTCGCATTTTGTGATTACTGGAGATCCGCTAGCCACTAATTCGTTATAGCTGACGCAATTGGGTTCCATGTAGCATAGAGCTGAGCAGAAGTCTTGCACAGGGGACTCTACGGTTCGTATCAAGTGGTTTATGAGCCGTTTGCCAAGGAAAGCAAGAGAAGATGTAAATTCCATCTTGCGACAGAAATCTTTGGGAAATTGAATCGGATTTGATTAGCACCATTTATGGTTTAGTCTAGGCAGGTAAAGAACCAGTTGCGTTTTTGAGGGACTAAGCAAAGCCAATGGAGTTATGAAACTTACGAGTTGTATAAGTAGCAAAACATAACAGTTTCGCCTCTCTCTCCTCCACGACCAGTGGAGGAGAAATGTCCTCAAATGTTTTCGGTTCTTTAACTGCTTTATTTTAGGACTAGTTATTCTGTAGATTTGTAATCGGAAAGTGCAATCGGACAGTCCACTGTAATTCGACATCTATAACCGGACAGGTAAAGCAGCAAATCACTCCGCCAAATCCCCCAATCACAGAGTTGACTATGATAAATGTAGCAACAACCACTTACCCTACAAAACAGTGTCTCTACCGAAGATATTTTCTCAAGTAAATGTATTTGTGTTGGTTATGATCAATTTGTAACGGGACTTCGTGTCGTAAGTGTATATGTTTTTCCTTTTTTTCTTCTTAAATTGTAATAGTTATGGTTAATTGGTAACAGGACTTCGTGTCGTCCAATTCGGTCTTTAATCGTATTCATGAGTGAGCCAAATTAGACTCCACTCGGTCCCATTACAACTATAAATTCAATTTACTTACAACACTGTAGCAGTATGGATAAAGTTTACGCTTAAGAAAATTGGAGCACAACTCACTGAATCGTGTATTTCATTAAAAATGAAATTTATTTGAAGTTATAACCATTTATAATGCGTCTAGGGTATTTTACGACTCCATATTTTATGTCTTATTGAATACAATATTTTTTAATTCGCTTTTGCCGTAGTGCATCTTTGAAGACACATATCTCTGTTTCTTTGACAAATCAATTTGGAATTCGTAGGATACCGGTAACTTGGTATAATCGGACCATGGCCCAGTTTGAAAAAGGCAACATTCCAGCATTGAATTTTATTATAGGAAGCCAGTCTGAGTTAAAATCTCTGAATTTGAAAAAAAAAATCTCTGAGTTCAATTCATGTGCATGAGACATAAATTCCACACTTGCCCCAGACTTTAAACTTTTCCTTAACTACTCGTAGAGAGAGAAACTCCCTCAGGGTGATTAGCGTAAAAATAAGAAGAAGGGGAGAAGACCGAAGAAGAGCCTTGTTGCCTCTCGATAGCGGGGAGTTTTGTCACCCACTAGTTTCTCCTGTCCTTGCATTGTAACAAAACTAACCAGGAGTCCGTTTTAATTTTAATCATACAATAGGAAGACCTGTATTTTTTATGTGTGGGCTGCGATTGGCGGTTTAGAATTTGGGTTGTCTTAACAACACCAAATAGAAAAAAAATGTGTTGTTATTATTTACCAAAAGTCAACACGTCGGCCTTTGCCTTATCGTTCATGCGACCTAAAAATGTTTTCTACAATTATCTTAGAGTTTTGATAAGTAAGTTTAGGCTGGATGGTTTCAAGTTTAGTTAACTGCATTACCTTCTATCAATGGAAAAAACTGAAAATAACGAACATGAAATCGAGTGTGCGTCTAACTTAGTTGAACTGTAATGATTTTATGTCAGCTCGGAGGAAATGAAAGTATAACTCACCTTCTTCACCCGCAACTTTAATTACCAATGAAGATAACAGAGCGACCAAGTAAAATTTTCTGGAAGAAGCCATGGTAAAGACTAAATTGAGCCGCTACTAAGGATCATCGCTGGTGACTTCTGAAAAGATTTTTATGCCTGTTTACTTCTTTTGTATGCAGAGAATTCTAATCTTATAGTTAGGAGATTTTCTATTCGACTTTGTACTTTGCAGGGCTATTGGCTCGGAATTTAGCATTGGCGGCATTCGGTAAAGGTAAATAAAACGCATTGAAAATGTGTTAATTAAACTCTATCGATTGAACAGCATGCGAAATATTCCGCTACTGAGATAATTGTGAACAGAGTTATTATTGCGCTTCTGGGTTTTGAAAAATTTTTGACCACATGATGATCGAGTAAAGGAACAGGTGTAATTGTTGTTCCCAGAAGATCAAAATATTATATTTTTATCCTTCCTTTGCCGTCACTGAAGCCGGTGGACATGGAATAAAGGATGTGGCTTGAAGTAATTAATGAGGTGTCTGAAAAAGGAACAGGTTTTAAAGCTTGTTCTCCGCACGTCAAGTTTAAATCGAGAAAAAGTTCCGTGCTTTGTTGATGCTCTGTTACTAAGATGAGAAAGTCATTTTATTTAAGGACACAGAATTCCTATTTATATACTTTCTTTCCAAATTCCGATATCCTTATCAACCTTCCTTAGTTCGAGATTATCAACCTCCTTTGCGTCCCTTTCAATCCAGATCAAGCCGGTGAATTACCTTGCAGATGAAGAGAAAGTGGGAAACAACGTCAATTACTCCACCTTTTGTTTATTTCTCTAAGCTAAGGAGAAAGTTATCTTTCACAAACAAAGATCTGGTTTTTCATACGAGTTTTTATTTCGGCATCTATTAGTAAAATGCTCTAAGTCGGAAACTCATTATTATCATTAGTTATTTGGGGTATAAATGCGCGTAGATTTTTGTCACTGGAAGCAAGAGTGACGTAAGGTTATCAGTCACACATTTACGAGCGGTTCTTCTCACAAAGATGTCTGAACGGCTACATAGACTCGTTTATAGACGTACCTTAGAAAAATATAACAAAACAAAGCGAAAAAAACAAAAGCACAAGACGTCGGCGTAAAATTCATAAAAGTCAGTGCTAATTATTCATAATTGAAAGCAATATTGTACAATTTTAGAAGCTACGAGAATCTAAATTTTTTTTTGTATTGTAAGAGCGTCGTATGTATCAAAGCGCTATTTTCATTATGCAACGTGTCATGTTAATGGGCTGATATATTCTGAGTATATTTCATCCCTAACTTGTGCCGTGCGTTCGAACAGCGGAAATGCTGGTTCCGCTGGTTCTGAGAGCCTGGAACTGCTAATTTGACCCTTGAAAATATTCAACTTTCAAAGAATATCTGCGTACTTGATAAACTCTTTTAGCAGATTGTCACGCGTCATGTTGATAAGGAGAGGACAAAGGGGAGGATACCGTCTGTTACCTATATAATTTTGTTCTAATCCGTTTTCCTTTCAACGCTCATAATGTTGGTTCGTAATAAACCCGTGAAGTGAATATATGAAAATCACATTAGCTCGGTTGGCAGAGCACTGCAGCAGTATTGCAAAGTTCATGGATTCAAATCCCGTATGAGCTGAACTTTTCAGGCTTTATTTTCACTACTGCGTAAGTTGTGTTCACTGCTGCGAATACCTCTTCCATATTAATTTCTAAATCCGTAGTTTCCACACATGATTTTCATATGATCATATTTATTAATTTTCTTTTCTGTTTTCCAGTTAAGATTCTCGGCTGCAAAGATTTGAGGGAAATTTCTTTGCTTTTATGGCCTGAAACGAATTCAAAGCTAACCATTTAAATAAAATATTCCGAGAGTATTTAGACAGGGAATTTGACTTAGACCTTAAGTCACATTCGGACATTTATCAACCGAGGAAGAAATGAACGATAAAGGCACAGGTATCCCAGGCTCACAGAATACGCCTTAGTAAATGTGCAAATGTGGTCACGCTCTCTCGCACTCAGAGAAAGCTCTACTCCACAGCGGTAAGGTTCGGGCGGTACAGTTTAACACTTGCCCTAAGATCTGTGTCGCTACATTTTTCACAGAATTTGGAGTTGATGCAAATTCTTATATTACCTCATAGATAACAGGAAAATAAGGCCTGGAATCGAGCAATTTGCTGGGAACCGGACATGATACTAAGGAAAAAAATCAATTTTGATTATTTACAATCGACAGCCGAATCGATACGGCGCTATTGATTGCCACAGCGAAAACTACATGTACTAAAATTTTGCAGAAAAGAAGAAAGGAGCTTTAAATGGAGCATTTTGATGAAATAAAAAATAACATACTCTGCTAATTCATCAAAACATGCTCATGGCAAAGTTTGAAACATTTTTCTAATTTTTACATTTCTCGAGAGAGAAATTCATCACTAATTGGTCAACTTCTTTAAAGTTTCCGGTCGGTCTATCGAGGAAATTTTAAGGAGCACACTGCCCCACATTTTGATAGTTTATTAAATAGTTAAAGAAATTAACTGTTAATTGAAGAACTAGATCCTATGGCTATTACGAGTGAGATCGAGTTCCATAGTCCTGAAGCCGCCACAGCAAACGTCCTTTCCCCATAAGTCTTTAGTCTTGCTTTCGGGGTCGCCAGAAGGTATTGAGAAGGGACGTTAGTGTCCGTTTAAAGATGCGATAATTTAGTTTGTCACTAACGTAGCAAGGCACTACTTCATTGATAGCCTTGTAGACCGGTGAAAGAATTTTATAAACTATACAGTGACGAACAGGAAGCCAGTGGAATTTTTTTTTTAGGACAGGGGTCATACGAGCAAATTTCCTAGTACGTGTAACAATTCTGGCTACTGTAATTTAAACAGATTGTCATCTTGAAAGCAGATGCTCGGGTAGACCACATAGCAGTTAGTTGCAGTTATGTAATATTGAAGTGATAAAGGCACGAACAACAATTTTGGCACTCTCTTCATTCATTCTCTTTCTTAATATCTGTAGTTTGTCCGAGACTTCAGATCCTGATGATGTTCATTGTGTGTGGAATTATTCAGTTCACATTTTGTGATTACTGGAGATCTGCTGGTCACTAATTCGTTATAGCTGACGCAGTTGGGTTCCATGTAGCATAGAGCTGAGCAGAAGTCTTGCACAGGGGACTCTACGGTTCGTATCAAGCGGTTTATGAGCCGTTTGCCAGGGAAAGCAAGAGAAGATGTAAATTCCATCTTGCGACAGAAATCTTTAGGAAATTGAATCGGATTTGATTAGCACCATTTATGGTTTGCATCTAGATAGGTAAAGAACCAGTTTCTTTTATTAGGGACTAAGCAAAGGCAATTGAGTGATGAAACTTAAAAGTTGT